CCAGATGAGGCTATGAAAGCCAGTAAAGTGATAGCAGTTTTGCGAAGTTCCAAAGCCTGCAAAGTTATTTTTCTTTAAATGAAGACAAGATCATATTTAACAAGTATTAGCTAATAAACATATTTTACATAAGATAATGAGTCAATAGTCTTGGATTATACAAAATAAAACTTGGACATTGACTACATTTTGTGGACACATAGATGCGAAGTCCTGAACTTTGGACACAAGGATATGTATGTATGTGATTATGAGTATGCCTATAATCTTATAAACTTAACCACAATCTTTTTCTAATATGATCAATTGTCCATTTGCTTATACCTTGGATAAACTTAACCGTACTTTACAACTTTTGCAGTAAAAATAATGCATTAACTAATGGAATCAAGCAAGAATGAAGTCAACCCACTTGTAAACTATTCCCAGAGCAAGCTATACAGTCAGCCAAACCCTCGAGAATCAGAGTAAATTCTTGAAAAGCAGCAGTGTTTTCCTTGTCAGCATCAGCACCTCCTGCCATTGTGCAACCACAGCAGAATGTGACCACCAACTTAGGACCTTCATCCAACAAAGAACCATAAGCCATTGGGAACGGGCACAGAGCTGAGCAGTACCAAGCAAAAAAGTAGAATATAGGGGGTAGGGGAGAGGAGAAAAGTAAAAGAGATTCCAATAGGTTACTATGCAGAGCTCGATAGCCATATTGTATAGCAAGTTATGTCAGTTGATATCATTCCTTTTTCATGGAACTATAGTGTGATACCTGTCACACTACTGTTATAAGTTCATATTTTCCAGTGCTATGAAAGAAATAGAAAAAAAGAGGCAGAAGGAACAAGCGTTCACTTACAATTTAAAAGCAGGTAGAGAGTGCGCACAGCCTCCTTTTGTGCAAGCAATCCAGCATCCTTTTTAAGCAGTTGTGAAATACTTCCAAACACTTCAAGGCCAAACCTAGTTCATAAAAAATAGCATTTAGAAAATAAAAGAAAGTAGCATATCATGGTAGAAATCTGCAAAAAGGAGTACCATACACACTTACTTTTCTCTGTCAGTGTAAGCATCAGTTCTCATCAGAATCACATTCATAATTGAGACTGCTTCCAATCTTACAAACTCTTCACTACTCTTCACCACAATGTGATGCATCGATTCAAAGAGATAAATCCAGTTTATACATGAAAAAAGCAAAGAAGAGCCTGTATCGCAATGTCCTTTCTTGCACAGAGTTTCTGCTTCAGAAGGTCTTACTCCGGTTGGCATCCAACTTGCAAAAGTCCCATCCATGCCCACACAATCCCATCCTCTAGTTTCACATCCAACTATATCATCAATGCTGCTCCCAGAGTGAAGACGCTCAGCCAAGAAATTTTCCCTGATTAGAGTGCACTGGAAAGATCAAATCAAAGTTCATAAGCACGCAATATAAATCAATGTTTAAGAGGTCTTCCTTGACTAAAGCATCCAGCATCTCCAGCATAATGACAAGCAAACAATAGATAAATGGAAAAGTAGAGTACAAAGCAATGTCTGATAGAGCATACTGGCAGAAGCTATTAGAGGGAAGGTATAGGAAAATAATTTGAGCACCCAAAATTCTTGTTTCTATTAATACAGAGAAAGCAAATAAGATTGAAAAGGGAACAACTGCATGTATCCCACTCTGAATTTCTGAATGAAACATATTCAAATAGATGATGGTACAATATCAAGGTTCAACAAGAACACACAGCCACCCTTCAAGTTAAAAAGAAAATAAAAAGAACAACATACAAGTGCCAACTATACCTTCCTTTGGATTTCCTTTCGAAACTAAGAAGGTGCTTCAACAAGACATGTAGTATACGGAGCGATCTATAAACAATAATTACCTGTATCAGAAAGAATGATCCTTAGGAATTGCCATAACAAAAAAAAAAAAACTTCACAATTCAAACAACAATGATGACACACACACATAGAATAGTAACAAATATCTGAGATTCTTTTACAAGACATAATAAAGTAGTTTTCCTTCTCTTTTTGGGTTTTGGTGGGGGCAGGGGGGTTTGAGGGATAAGATAGCACCCTTTTAAGTAGCTTGCTATTGCCGTATAATGTTATTTACGTTAAAGAATTTCTAGCAGCAATTTCCAAAATGAGAAATGTTGTGATATAGGGCCATCCAACCAATCCTATCTACGGTTTCAGACCTCACTATGAAAACAAATCAATTTAATAAAGTCAAAGGCAATAATAACTCTCAAGAAACTTGATTCTCATGTCACCTGAGAAGGCTAAGCACATAAAAGCACTTCCCAAGCAAAGAGAGGCACTGATTAATAAAAACACCTAGTAAATATTAGAAATCGCAAACATTGTTTATTCCTAATGAGCTCTGACAAATGGCCATTGCTTAATACAGTGGCTCTGGTCTATAACCACATAACTGCAGCCCAGAAAAGCCACATAACTGTCAAATAAAAATGGGTAATTAATTATTGAAATTACTAGAATACTTTTTTCTGTTCCAACATTTTAAAGTGAATATTTCATGCAAATTTAGTATATAAACTATCCACAATTTATTTATATCTTGGGTGAAAAAAGTTTACAGCACATTGCTTCAACAATTGAAAAAAAGATTCTTGAAGCCGTATATGCTCACATCAAAGTTCAAATAAGAAATTTTCACCTTACATTTTCAACACTACAGAGATCAAATAACGATTCAAATAGAGCCTCCAACTGTGACATTCCATTACTGATCTGCAATAGAAAAATAAATCAAACAGTAAAGAAACAATTAACTTTTAAAATACCAATTAGCTGAAAACATAGGTCAATATATCAAATATTGTCATGACCCTATGTCTAATCTTCTAGATGTTTACAATGTGAAGCAAAGAGCTGTGAACTCCAGAGAAGTTAACTATCCAATTGCAGCAGTGGGTTTTCTTTCAGAGGCTAAATAATTCATTCTTCTGAGGATGAGCCTTGGCACAAAAATAAGGTTGTTGTGACCTGGAACTGGAGGCCACATGGTTTCAAGTTGCATAAACAGCCCATCTTCAAGTCAAGTGTAAGGCTGCTTATATTTGATCACCCCCACTTCGCAGACTTAGCAATGCAAAAGCCTCATGCACTAGGCTGCCCCTTTTTCATGGTTTAACTTTCTTTTTGGTTACAGGGATAGCAGAGGGGGTTTTGGTGGGGTGGGCAGGGATAGTTAGCAGTTCACTTATGATGATAAACTCTCATAAGATATCTGATTTTTAATTGCTGATGTCTCATATTTTTGCGCTCAAGATGATAGAACACAGTACCAAGCCATATCAAGCTTAAACAAAAATAAGAAACAATAAGATATGCAGGACCTGTGTCAAAGCAGAGTAGAAACGAGATACTTTAGCAGCTTCAGAACTGCAAAAAGGCTTCATAGAGTGCTGCAAAGCCATATCAGCAGAGCTCTTAACTGCCAGTGGTTCCATGGTTTTGGAAGGTGAGCTTATACTAATGAAGCCAAACAGGACATTAATATCTTTCGAACAGACTGCAAACAACTTGGATATCAGATTTCTACCAAACTGTTGGTCACTTGGGAAACCCCAGATGTCCTGCAACTTCTTAGAAAGATCAAGACAAGCATTTAGATCCGCCTGAACTCCAATTTCCTTACAGCTTGACTTGGCTACCAAAGACAAGGAACAAAGGCATCACAAAAACTGTTAAGAACTAAATTAGCAATGCAGATGATACAATTCCGTATATGGTCTCCAATTCACTTCTCACCTGTATGCAGGCCAATCTGATCATCAAAAGCTTTTGCATTTGGAAGTTCTTGTATAACCCCATGGTGAGCTGCAACAGGGATTCCATGTTCTCTGTCATTGTGGCAGGTGTCACTCAAAATCTCCAACATATATAATGGGATGTTAAATGCAAGGTAATATACAGAGCTCATAACTTATTTCAACTAAAATTCCACAAAATGTTACTCAAGTTGACAACGGTAAGTGTTAAGTAAATGTGTTTTAAAAAAAAGTATGCAGAGCTCATCATCACATTTAACTACTTACATGGTCACTGTGTGTGTGTGTCTGAGAGAGAGAGAAAGAGAGAGAGAAATTATACTCACAAGTTTGCAATCCTCAAGCCATTAAAATTACCAACTTTCACTTCATTCCTTGAATCTGCAAACGTAAGCTGATCCTCCTTGTTTCTTTCCCCCTTCAGTTTGAAGCACTCATGTTCCTAAATAGATAAAAAGGAAACACTCACCTAAATGGCCTCCCTAAGGCCCAAACAACTTAAGACTTTACCAGAATATTTTTCCACCAATACTTTATTTCTTTATTCTTGTAGCAATTGCTTCCAGATTTATGGCTTTTGGCATACACACAAATTCCTATTGTATTCACTCGAAAAATTAGAATTTTAATGAAATATACATACCAAGTCGGCAAGCTGCTTTGAAACGCGTCCCAGCTCCTTCTGTAATAATCAAACACATTTCAATCAGACTTTTCTCCTATATTGGGAATATTTCCAACACCCTCTCTATCTTTCTTCCAAATACCTTATTCAAATCAGAAGAAGCATCAATTTCCACCGAATATTTCAAGAATCTTTAAATAACTGACTGACTTTTCATTTTTTCATAAAAGAAAATAATTGAACAAGAAATCAGGTCTAGGAGTATGAGAGTGTGAAACCCTAACCTTCAAGCGCTCAATTTCGAGATCCTTAGCGTTATCAGAACCGCGAACGCACCGCAGCGGATTCGAAGGAGTAGCGGATTTAGCAACAACGCCGTTCGAAATGAATGCGCCACCGACATCGGCGGTTCTCTGGGAGAGCTCTCTGGGAGGCGAGTAACTGAGGGAGTCAATGCGGGATGGAGGCGGAAAATGTAGGGGTTGGTCTGATGGCGGTGGCAGAGGCCGTAAATAAGAGGAAGAAGAAGGGTTGTTCTGGGTAACAGAAGAGGAAGAGAGAGCGAGTTCTTCAACTTGGATAAGTTCCTCCAGGAAACTGGCGTCCCATTCTTCCAAATTTTCCTCGCTCATAATTTTTTTTTCTTTTCTTCGTTTCTTCCCCTGTGTTTGGTTGAGTGAAAGCGTTGCGCCGATGGAGCTTCTGAGTTTTCAGAGTTGGGCCGGCTGTTGCTGAACAGGGTGGATCAAAACTAGTGTTTAGTTTAAGAGTTTTTTTCCATATCAGGATAAATTGAAATTTATTTCTAAACGAGGGGGTTTTTTTTTTGTTCTTAAACAGCATGTTTGGTCAAAGAAATAGAATAATAATTTTCGGTATTCTTTTTCACATAATAGCATCGATCGATTTATTTTTAAGAATTGGATTGATCATTAATTTCTTGAAATAATTATTTTTGAAAAAAATCAAAATAGTTATTATTAAAATCCTTTGGATAATAGTTAATTTTCAGGGGAAGTGGAAATAGGTCCAAAAAATTTTTGAATAAAAAAATCCTTGTTTATTTTGTATATTGCTTAATTAGCCATAACTGTCAATACAAATTAGTTTTAGTACTCTAATTTTATAATAATAATAATTAATTATAATCACCCAAGCTTATTCTTGTCTCCTTTGCCGTTTAGATTGCATTTTGTAAAGAATTAAAAAAATATATTATTTGATTAATCAAAATCTAAATGATATAATATGTGACTAGTGGTCTAAATTGTTTAATTGATACGACAACATATAGCATATAGTTTTATATTTAATATAATACTAGTATATAATATTTATATATTATCACTTAATTATATAATATTACCTCATAAATTTGTAAAGATAAAATTTTTTTATTTTTAAATTTATTTGGAGATGATAATATTTGGTTCACTGATAATATATAAAATCTATATATTGACTTTACATAAACTATAAATCTGTATTATATTAATATAAGGTTTTCATTTCCTTAATTTATTTTTCTAGATAATTAAAAAGCAAATCTATTTCATTATGTTTTTTTTAATTTAGTATTTTGTATTCACTTTTGATTTTCCCTATGTATATATATATAAGTAAAATCCAAAAAGTCTCTTCAAAACACTTCAAAATGACACTTTGATCTTTTTTATTTTAAAATAATTTTTCTGTTCTTTGATTGTTAATACCGTTATTCAACGGTTAAAAAAAATTGTACCCAATATGACATAAACATTTTAAAAAACAAATTCCCCTTACAACAAATGTTCATGTTTCCTTTCAAACTTAATAAAATTTACTTTAATATTTGACAAAAAAAACTTAATAAAATTTTAGAACAAGATTTGTGAATGCAGTAATCTATCTCATTTTAATATTTAATAAAATTCAATATTTGATAAAAAAATTTTAAAACTTTTGATATATAATAATCAAGTCAAAATCTTTTCATGTTACCTTAAACCCTACTCTCAAATAACAAATTTTAAAAAAATTCAACAAAATTAATAATTATAAGTAAAAAATTAATCTTTTAACTCGATATAATCAAATTTGAAATATTTATCGTATAAAAGAAATCTATTTTTAACACATTTTTTCAATAAAAAAGGAAATTCTCAAACTGTTAAAGAAAAAAAATTGATAATAATAAACTTTACCTCAAAAAAGAAATTTATAATTTTCAAGGCAGATACATCTTTAAATTTCTTGGCGTTTAAAAAAATTGTTTTAAGTTTTTTTATTAAAGTTTTTAAGGAAGGATGAGCATATTTTAAAACAAAGAAAATAAGCTTAAATTAAAAAATAATAATGTAAGGAGATTTATATCTTAAAATATTTATATAATATTAAGTTTAATTTTTTTTAAGTGTTGACTATCGATATTAATAATTAAAGGTCAAAAACATTATTTTAAAAGAAAAAGGATCAAAATACCCCTTTTAAGGCGTTTTGGGTAATTTTAAAGTTATACCCGTGTACAGATCCTATCAACTTCTAAACTCCTCACACCTAAGCATGTAGGTAACTTTATTCTTTCCCCTTGTCTTTACTTTCTATATGGTTATTATTCTTTCCTTCCTTCGAAAACTCAAGTATCTATAACTTTCTTTTTCTGCTTTGTTATAATCTCATTTTGCACTTGAGTTTGGATTAATATTTGCATGAGATGCGTTGATGGGATTCTTGGCAATGATCTCTGCTCTCCATTGAAAAGTAGTTGCCGTATCTTTGTTGAGGTAAATTTTTATTTTCACACAAGACATATCTCTGCAGCAACACAATTAATCTCTGTTCGTAGTTTCTTCTTAAAATCCTAACTTTCTTATAATAATCGGATTTCTGAGCAGCAATCTTTCCTGTGGTCAACACTGACAGAGGTTCAAACTTCTAAAAGATGAAGTCAAGCGTTCACCCTAGAAGTAACACTCCCAGCACAAAGGCATTGTACGACCAGTTTCTAGATGAATTGTCCGCCGATGATGAGACATCGTCCACGTTTAGAATCCCGGCCTTCGGCCGTAGCAAGAGCCCTTCTACAGGCTCAACGGACGATTCTAATAAAGGTGAGAAAGGGGCGTCTGAAGAAGAGTCCATTGCAAGTCCTCGCCGCATGGCAGATACGAAAGAATTTTTAGAGAAGATTTATGAGCCAGTGGGTCGATCTAAGGTCCATGGATTCGACTACGACATAATGTCATTGAAAATGTTGCTTCTCGACGAAAGGAGCCAATACTCGTTCAAGGTAGTCGGGGTTGTCGGGATGCTTGGTGTTGGAAAAACAACACTATGCCGCTTAATTTTGGATGAAGAAGAAGTGAAGCAGCGGTTTGTTCCGAGGTTTTGGATAACCATGCCGACTGATGAGGAGCCCAATTCAATGGAAAAAGTTGTTGAAAGGATGTTGGAACGTCTCGGAGTCGAAGAAGAAATCATCACGTCCATTTCCATAAATCATGAACTTCCTGGGTTGCTCTACGCTCTTCACCTCTATGTGAGAGGTAAGAGGTATCTGATTTTGCTTGATGGCGTACGAGCGAAGGACAAATACTATGAAAATCTAATGTCTTGCTTAAGAGATGGGCATGGATTCCCGACGGGGTATGGGGGAGCAGTCATGGTGACAAGTAGGGATGAGGAAGCAGTAAAAAATATGGTTGGGGAGCAAAACTTGCATCGCCTTCTTCCCCTTTCAAACCCAGACAGCTGCTGGCCAATATACCAGAACTTGGATTCGGCTGCCCAGGATTCTGGATCAGAGGCTTCAAAAGAAGTAAAAGATGAATTGCTGAAGAAGTGTGGAGGTCTCCCTCTAGCGGCTCGAATTCTGCGCGAATTGAAGGATCTAGAAAAGAAACAAGGTGGTGGTTCAAAGGAGGGTCCAATTCAAGCACCTGCAGCTTCAAAAGAAGTTTCAAGTCAAGCACCTGCAGCTTCAAAAGAGGGTCCAATTCAAGCATCCACAGCTTCAAATGAGGTTTCAAGTCAAGCATCTGCAGCTTCAAAAGAGGTTTCTAGTCAAGCAACTGCAGCTTCAAAAGAGGGTCCAATTCAAGCATCTGCAGTTTCAGAAGAGGGTCCAATTCAAGCACCTGCAGCTTCAAAAGAGGTTTCAAGTCAAGCACCTGCGGCTTCAAAAGAGAATTCAACTGAAGCATCAGCACCTTCAATAGAGGATTTAAATGAAGCATCTGCAGTTTCAAAAGAGGGTTCAAATGAAGCATCTGCAGCCTCAAAAGTGGTTTCAAGTCAAGCATCTACAGCTTCAAAAGAGGGCTCAAATCAAGCATCTACAGCTTCAAACGAATCAGACTTGAAACCTGCAACGACCAATTAATCAAGACCAAAATTTATTAACCGAAGTGGTAACACCTGCACCAGATCAGGCGTAACATTTCTCTTCGGTTTTAATACAGTTGGCTGGCTTGCTCTCTCCTATTCGGTAATCTCGTGAAGTAATTAAGCACTGTTTTCAGAATTGATTTATGCACGTGTTTATTAGTTTGTGTTTGTGTTACTCCGATAATATTGTCTGATCATGATGTAACGGGGAGTCCACCCCATATATATTTTTAGAACTTTTCAGTTGTCATGAATTTTTCTTGTTGACAATAAAAGAGAGTGTTGTGATTTGAATTTTGCTGAATTACATGCAATTTAAAGATGTTTTTATTGTCTTCGCCACATCAAAATGACATATTATCTAATGATTGAAATATGGTTAATCAAGTTCCAAATTTTCGTATTATTTTGTGGAGGTTGAAAATATTCATATTATATATCGAAATTTTAAAACTTTAACCTATAAGATAGAAAATTTATAATAATCACCAATATGTTAATGAGTTAAAAAATTATCTTATTAAATTAAGTATCCAATGAATAAGGTAGGTTTTAATGTTGGTATTAGGTTACACCAACAAATTTGATTGTTTGAAAGGTTTTTTATTTTTTTTTTATGCTGATGTGAATTGCTATGTATTTATTGTTTTCATCAATATATTAACAAATCTTTGCTTATAAAAACAAAACAAAATAAAACAAAGTGTTGCACCACTTGATTCAAAGATGATTATATATATATATATATATATATATATATATAGTTACGAGATGCAAGGAATTACACACATCTTTTTTATGGTCATATAGCATTTTTATTCAAATAAAAAATGATAAAATTTAAGGTATCCTTTAACAATTAGATAAAATTATTTTAAAAATTCTTAATCTTACTTTCAAATGTAAAAGAAAATACAAAGAATTTTTACACATATAAAAGCAAATGACTATTTTTTTAAAAAAAATTTAAACTCTTTTTTAGATAATACAAATTATGTGAATATCTCTACAGGTAGGCTATTTTTGAAGTATCCTAATTTGAACTCAATTATTTGATAAGGTACCCAAATCCTATAAATACCAGATTAAATTTTAAAATTAATACTCAAACTTGTACTTGTATAGCCTACACAATACTTGTTAAATATATGTATCTATTAAATACTTGGTTAAAATAAATTTGAAATTGAAGTTTATGTAAATTATTAATAAAAATTAAATTAATATATTAAAATTAGTTTGTAAAAAATAAATTAAATTTAAAATCATATTTATAATATTTAATGATATTATTCTAATTATAAGAAATTTATAAATAATATATATAACTAAAATTTAATATTAAATCACTATTTATAATCAGATTCAAGTAGTGGGTATCCTAAGACCACTATCCAAACCCTACCCAATCTTATAACAAGGAACTTGAATTCGATTATAGGGTGGTCAATCCCGTAATAGTAGTATTTTTACTCCCCAAACTCGATTTTAGAGTATTTTAATTTTCTATAATCTGAGCCAATAATATAGGATATAAGGTCCCGATTGACATTTCTAAATTTAAAGGTGACAATACTTTTAAGGGTAAAAATGAAAAATATACATGAGGCTAATATGAACCTTATATTTGAAAGGTACTAATAATAATAAGAATACAAAACTAAATTAATAAAATCATGAGTGATTGTAATTTACCAAAAATTACAATATTTTAGAACAAAAGTTGACAAACAGAGTACTTAACTAACTAATTCTTCACCTTTCATAATAATTATGGATTGAATGGTTCATATTATCACCATCATAATATTTGGCATATGAAAGAGTTTAAAGATAACAATGGGGAAAAGATACAATGAAGAAAAGAATGAGTGAGAATAAGACAAAGTGAAGATGAATGGGAAAAAATGACTAAAGAAACATAACGAAAGGAAAAAGGAAATACAAAAGGAAGCAAGAGAACATCAAGAATTAAATAAAGAGGAAAAAGAAAAAGAAAAAAAGGAAATATAGATTAAAGAAAGTTGAAAAGAGAAAGGAATATTAGAGAAAATATTGAGACAGGGAAAGGCATAAATATAGGGTGAAGTTGAATCAAGGGAAAAAAAAAGGAAAAGAGGAAAAGAATTGAGAATAGAGAAAAGAAAAGAAATTGAATAAATGAAGGAAAAATAGAAAGTGTAGATTGAAGATCAATTAATAAAAAGAAAAGGAAAAGAAAGAGTGAAGAATATAGAAATAAGAAAGAGAGAGAGGTAAACAAAAAGAAAGTGACAAAAGAAGGAGGGAAGGTTAGAAAAAGGCACAATAAGCATTTGTGAAGATCAAGTAAATAGAAAGGAAAAAGAGAAAGAATGGGGAAGAAGTAAAAATTATCTAGGAATAGAAAATGTCCAAAAGGAACCAGTGAAGAAGAAGAAAAGAATAAAGAGAAAAAAAAAAGATTTTAAAAAAGAAAGTTGAAATAAGAATAGAGTGAAGAAATAATCAATATGAAAAATTAAAAACAAAAAAAGCAAGAGGTGAATGTTAGAAATTGAAGGAACAAAAAAAATGAGAGGAAATAAAAGAAAGAGTGATGAAGACCAAAGTGAAAAAATAAAATGAATCTGTGAAGATGAAGCAAATAAAAAGGGAAAAGGGAATAAAGAGAGTGGAGAAAAATAAAGTGAAGAATTAAAAATTATCTAGGAATAGAAAATGAAAAATATTATGAGGAAAAAAGGACTAAAAAATTGAATAATGTTGAAATTATAAAAACAGTGAAAAAAGAAAGAATAAATATGAAAAGAAATATTAAATTCCAAAAAGAAAAAGAAAACTTTTAATAATTAAAAAAAATACAAAGACAGTTAAAATATAGTACGAAAAAGAAGATTATAAAGTTTTACTTTTTCATGTATTTTGATACGTGAGTTTGGTTTAATTTTATATTATTTTTAAAAAATAAATGATAAAAATTTTATTGACTTATTTAATTTATTCATTTTATTTCTTTCCCTAAATGTAATAATTATGCCTTATACAATAACAACGACTTGATTGTGATTGAAATTTTAATTGTATATATAATTATTTCATAAAAAAATTTCATGCTATGGAAACATCAAGAGCATTTGTATTGTGATCATTAATATCCCCTTAACTTCCTTTTTGTCAATAGTCAAATTGAAATATTTAGTCTCATCAACATATATGTATTTACATTTTGATTATTTTATTTTGAATTAATAAATTATTTTCTGAATATATTAGACCAGAAATGGGTTGTATGGTCAATTAATTTTAATGGATTATTTTGGAATCAATCTTATTTGTTCTTTGGTGATTACTCCTAAATCAATTTTCAATCACTGATAAATCGCTATTTGCTCTTTAGAATCACCTGGGGAATTTTTTTTAGATAATTTCTTACCTAAAGTCTTGTTTTATACTTTGTATTAATTATGTGCCATGTTTTACAATCAAACTTTATTGGTATAATACATAAAAAGCTAATGAATTATATAATTTTTAAAAAATTTAAATAAACTTTTGTTCCTTTATTACATGCAATTAAGTCCTGATCAAATAAATTTTTATAATTAACTATTGATATTGTAGTTTTAAATAGGGATGTCAACGAATAGAATATTTATTATTTTTGAAGTACCCTAATACGAATCTTATTATTTGAAATGGTACTCAAATCTTGTACATATTTGATTAAATTTGTTTGAACTGTTATTTGAATCCATACTTACACTATCCTTTAAATACTCAATTAAAGTAAATTTAAAATTAACTTTTATATATATTATTAATAAAAATTAAATTAATAAATTAAATTTAGTTCATAAAAAATTTAAAGTTTAAAATCATAACTAGAGTAATTAATGAATTTTAATAAATATTATTATTAATTATAAAAAATTTATAAATAAAAATAATATATAAAAAATTATTATTTATAATCGGATTCAAGTAGTAGGTAATTTAAGCCATTACTTAAATCCTATCAAGTCAAGTAAAAGTAAGATATTTGATTACAAGATACGTATTAACGTCCTTTAACTTCAATTTCTTTTTTTGAAAAGTTCGTCGAGTTTCTTGATCCGTCAAATGCCGTATATGACAGTCATTATACTATACAAGGAAAGCCAACCATACTTCATCTACAAATTAGGATAACTAGAATTACTGTAAGAAAACTTACAATGAAACGCCAACGTACAACCAGCATAGGCGAAAGGCAAAACAAACAATCTATGATATGGATCAAGATAAAATTCGGATACAAATTTCTCAAGTTGAAAATTAAATTAAAAGGATATGTGTACCTAATATAAACAAAACAAAAGAAAAAGAATGGATGAGATAATAACCTATAAGGGACAGTACTGAGGAAGAGATTTGTGAATTGAAAGAAACATTTTATTGACTGCGACAAGCATCAGGGCAATGACATTTGTAGATTGAAGGAAATGCAAATGCAAGCAGAAGATTGAAAGGAATTTAAGAACTTATGTACATAAGCGAAATAGAGCACACTTTAATTAACAGCAACGATGAATGAGATAATAACCTGCAGGGCCACTTCTGGCAAATTCTTGATTTTCCAACACCAATATTTTTATTTTCCTTTTTCAAGATTTCGCCATGCTCCGTTTGCATCGCAAGGGCAGAATGTGATTCCGGGGCAATTGACTCTCTCGAAATGTGTCAACTTTGGAAACTGAGTCTGCAGATCTTTCCAGTTTATCTGAACGCCAGTCAAATACTTCAGACATAGAGTCTCAACTTCCCACTTCTCGCTACCCTTCGATTCACCCAGGTAACTGAGTCTTCCACCTCTAATGTAGAGGTTCTTTAGGCTTGCTAGTTTTTCAGGCACCAGCCAACGTGGTGGTTCCAGTTTTGGGAAACATTGGAGGTCCAATTTCACTAGCTTGATAGCTCCTTCAATGTTTTGCTTTCCTGCATCTTTGTTGTCGTTCAGGTTTTTTTCAGGAACTGATTTTGACGATCCCTCTCCGCAAGCTCCCCATGGCATTTTCAGCTTCCGAGGCCCTGGTTTTGCTGCATCATTTTGTTTCCCTTTGTGGCCTTTACTCTTGTCTCCATTGGTTTCTTGGTTTCCATTGCCTTTCTTCTCGTCTTTGGTTTTATTTATCAATTTTGGCGATTCATCCCCTCCGGCTCCCCATGCTATTCTAAGCTTCCGCAGCCCTTGAAATCTACAGAGATCTTCTTCCGCTTTATCTATTGAGAATTCATCGCTATTCACATTGATGGTGAGTTTCTTCAACTTAGAGAGTGTGGCCAAGTTACCAAGAGTACATGAGTGTCTATTTTTGCTAATGACAAAGCCCTTAAGCACTTGGAGTTCTAAGAGTGAACTAAGCTGCTTGGGCATGTTGTCTATCAAATAGCACTCAGATATATCCAAGTAAGTCAGCTTCTTAAGTGAGCCTAACTCTTTTGGTAGTTCCTCCAGGCCGTGGCATGCTTTAAGATCTAAGAACCCCAAATTGATGAGCTTACCAAGAGATTTTGGGAGCTTCGAGATTCCGGAGATTCCTTGAAGACTAAAAAATCTCAACTTCTTCATATTTTTCAACCCTTTTAAGAATTCAGTCTTTTCCACCTCCATGTGACGCTCGGCTGTGCTCTCCCATCTTCCCAGATAAAGAACGTTGATGCCCTTCATCTTGGAAAACTTCTCCTCAGGCAAATCAGGAAATTGCTTACTAATGTTGAACAGTGTCTGCAGCTCTTCCAGATTTCTTAGCAACTGCTTTTCTTCCCGTTGGTGTTCCTGATACTTTTGTTGCTGATTTTCTGAATTTGTATTCTGCTGCCCTTTCGAATCTGTTTTTTGTTGGGTTTCTGAGTTGATTTTCTGCGCCTCTTCCTGTTGCTTTTCCACTTTCATCGGGAAAGGATTTTTAGAGAACCAATGAGAAAGTCTTTCGGATTTTATCAAACATGACTTTTTGCACGCTGAAATATCCATCGTCGGGATTCCTTTAGAGTCGTAATCAAAGAAGTTAGCCTCCTTGGCAAGCCTGATCAACAAAGAACGAACAATTGGGTGCATCTTATAACGGGTGGCAGGCAGTCTGCTTTTTTTCTCGATAGGCTCAATGAATCCCTCCTTGATGAGTACTCCAAGAACGTCGTTCACACGATCCTTCTTCCCCTTTTCTTCTAGAGCGTTTGGATGTTTTATCAACCTCTCTCCAAGCCACCAAAATCTTAGAAGGCTCTTCTTGATTTCTGCGTTGTCCGGGAAGATCGCGAGACACAACAAGCACAGCTTGAGCTTCGTATCAAGGCCGTCATATTTGTCTTGAATCTCTTTGTAAAAAGAGCCTTCTATCTCAATTTTTTTTGCAGCTTCGTATAGATTAGGCAGATCACCGCCTTCTCTGCTGGCAACTGTCGCCTGCAAATACCGACTTGCGTCAGAAATTAAGTTTGAGGCTTGATGCTGCAATGGGATCTGGATTTTCACTTTGGTGATGTTGCTTCTCAGAACTTTAAGATTGTGTTCAATTTGCTTTAAGGTGCCACCTGAGGATCTCAGCACTTTAAGATCGTTCAGGATGTCATTCACATTTTCTTCAAGAGTTGTCAGCGGTTTTCTGAGATTATCTTCAAAGTTCTTCAGTTTCTCAAATTCTCTAATCATATAATGGAGCTCTTTGCATGCTTTATCAAGCTGAGTGTGCATTTCTTTCTCTTTTTTCTGTTCATCTTCATCGGCGGGTTTGCCTTCCTCCCCTTTATTGTCTTGAGCAGAATCAACGACCTTCGCCTTGGTGACCTCGACGAGTCTTCCACGCAAATCCTGTAGCTTTTGAAGGATAATCTGAACGGAGGTGGTTTCAGGGGAATTTGTCTGCTGAACTGAACCATCCTTGGGCGAAGACATTGTCTAATGGCTGAAGACAAAATTAAGCTAAGCAAATAGAAAATTATCAGATTAATTCGGAAGAAATTAAAGGTGTGGGTGAAATTCTATGCTGGAAGCTCTTGTTATAAATTCTCAGTCGAATCCAATTTGATGGTGACTCTAGAAGCATTTGGAGTTCCAAACTTTGCAGTCAAGAAAGAGACTTATTTATTCTTTCACCTTCCGTTTTGGAACGAGAAAGAAATTCTCAGTCGAAATCTTTTGTTAGAAAACTCCTTTACCCTCATCTTTGGGCTTTACTTTTTAATATATAGTAATAATAAATAAATAAATAAAAGAAAAGAAAGTTCCCTCTATTCCTCTTACGGTATGTTTGATTTGAAAAATAAAATAATTCTTTTATGAGAATAAAATAAAAAAAAGAATAAAATAGAATGATTATTGCATGGTTTGATTCATAGAATAAAATAAAGATTGTTATTGTAACTCATTATGATGCTTGGTTGGTAAGAATAGTTTTGGAATAATTAAAAAATAAATGATAAAATGACAAAATTACTCTTTATTATAATTTAGTAAATTAGATAAAATTACTCATTATTATAATTTAATAATATTAAAATTTTTATTTTCATTAAAATTTTAAAATATTAATAATTTATTATGAAATTATTAATATAATTTTTTATTTCTATTTCTTTTTATTTTTTCTGGATTTGTATTTTTATTTTCATTAAAAATTTAAACATACACTAAATTATTAATATAATTTTTTTATTTTATTTTTTTCTATTTATAAGTTTTAATTTTTTTCAATGAATATGGACATTTTAGTCTAATAAATTTTTGACTTTATTCCATAGTCATGGAATAGCAATTAACATGGAAAGGTGGGAAATGGATAAATCAAGATTTTAAGAAATAGCCATTACTTGATATGGCTACTCCCCCACCTCAAAAACCAACCAAACTAAAGAATGAAAATGTGAAAGGAATAAGGGGGAATGGTTTAGCTATTCCCCGTACTAAACGTGCCATTAATCTAATAGTAGTAGTCATATAATTGGACAAAAAGGATTAATCTTTGCACTCATATTCTTTTCCTCTAACGTGAAAAGAATAATGCAAACTCAATTGAGTTGCTTATGAATAGAATATCGTTGAGGCACAAAGTTATTTTTATTCTAAAATAAGTTTTGGTAAGGTTGGATGGAAGTGAGGAATCCTTTCAAAGCTCCTTTTACATCTTTGACGTATAAAGCTGAAAGGGGAAGGCCTTTAGAATTTTTTAAAGTTAATAAAATACTCGCCGACCTCGTTTTATTACGTGAACATGTAAATCATGTATGTGTTATGAGATTATTATTCTTTGTTACAAAAGTTAACGTAAGTGATATATTTTTTCTTTTAGCAAAAGTAATATATAATATGCCCAAGTTTATAAATTTTTCAAAATCTTACTTATCTAATATAAGATTAAAATACTTTGTCTATTTCTTATATATAATTACAATTATATATTAAATTATAGATTACAGATTCTAAATAATATAAGAAATACAAGACACGGAATGAGTGATCGGGGAAAAGAAAGAACAAATCATTGCCAAAAGAAAATTAAAACAAAAAGAAATGGAGAAAGAAGTAATCCCCCTTGCATCCCAAAAAGATGCCATTATTGTTCTGTTAAGTGGAAAAAGAATATTACAATAATTATATCAATTAAAATCTTTTGCCTTCACTTGATTTTGTTTAGTGTTTTTCTTTTTTGTATAATCATATACATTTATATATATGCTAAATTACTTATGTTAAGATTTAGGATTTAGAAATTATGATTTACGATTCATGTTTTAGGATTTTACAATGTTTTTATTGAGAGCATAAAATTGAATATATGACAAGAAATATCAAACAAAACACCGAATAGAGACAAACAATTTTTATTCATATGTAATAATTACATAGTAATCTCTGTTATTGCCAAGGTAACCGGTGATTTAGTACCCAAACAATGAAAGCAAGCAAAAAACAAAAATTATACTAGATAACGACTTAAATTACATTACAATATATGTTCATTCCTTGCCAGAGAAAACTTGGAGTTAAATCCGAACATCTATCACCGACCAACTACAACGTAAATTTATTCTAAAAAGGGAGACACATGAAGGAAATAGATGTTGGATTCCATCTCCAGGAATCCAATATAAGATTCACTGGATCGGTTACTTTCCCACGATCAGTTTTGCCCTTGCATGTCCTTCGTTGATTTGGAACTGCTCCCCAAGGCCAAAGTGAGCCATCAGCAACCAGAAAAACGTAATAAGCTCCCCACCTTTACTTACCCCTTGAGCATGTGTGCTCGCTCTGCAGTGACTCGCCGCATATGAGACTAATTCCACCCACACTCTGCAAATCAGATTCCATTTGTCCTTCCTTCCCAACCCTTTTAGCTCTTTGGCGAGCATGCTTGCATCGAACAACACAGATTTGCTTCTGTCTCCTTTCACAGTCGCAGGTACGACATCTGTATTCACTGAAAGAATTTCGTCGCAGGCCTTCTTGTCTTCGTTCGGTCTCAAACTCCGTCTCTCGAAGAATCTTTCAGCCTCGGCACAAGTGTCTCGATATCTTATTTTCCCGATACCCGCCACAGCAGACATCGTAGTTGGCTGAAAAATTAGAAGATACAGCATGTAATCCGAGAGAGTCTTACTGAATTCTTGTTCAGCCACCATTTCCTCTTCCTTATCAGTGTAGTAGCAGAGATCAGTAGCAATGTGCCACAAGAGAAGGCTCTCGTCATATTGAACATCACTCACATATTTCAGCAACTTGCTACGATCGTTTCCTGAGTCAGTATCCGTTAAAACCCAATCACCTCTGGCTGCGGATATCCTCTTTGCAGTTTCTGGGTTATCTGCAAACTCAGATTTATTTTTTAGCTCCTGAAAGATAAAATTCCATAGCTCCAGGGTGAATGGCTCACTGGACACGTACATCATCTCATCCACCAAATCCTTAACGGGTTTGGTAATTTTTTTGAAAGCCCAGCTGAAAAATTGATTCACCTTTTCTAAAATAGACTTTAAAAATCTAATGACTTTGCTGATAACAATGGAGCCCGGTAAATCACTACAATTAAAAGACTTGACCCCTTTGGGAACAAAGGTGTTACGCGGACTGATTTTTCTCTTGATCTTGGTCATGCCATGACCAACTTTCTTTATGATTTTATCGATTCCCAACAGATGAAGGAACTTTTCAAACATAATTACCAACAAACTGGGGAATTCATGGATAGTTGTCCTACGGCTTTTCAGGCAATACCTTATGAGGTTGTGTGCTGAAATGGATCCAGACCACCTTCGAAACCCAAGGGGAGTAATCAACGCTTGATGGGGATGGGGATCGTCAGAATTCTTTATCCCACATTTTTTACAGCGGTGCCACCGGGGCTTCTTGAGAGCGAGGAAACCACCGAAGACAGCAGCAATGGGCCTACAATATGGACTATCAAGGTACTTGAATATAGAAGCAAAAGTTCGATCAGAGAAAATGAGCATGAGGAACGCTACCACATCCAGCGCGACTGCGCCGAGGAGCAAGGTATAGGTGATTCCGATATCAACTCCCTGGAATTCATCTTTTTTCGTTTGGAAATAGAAGATTCCGAGAGTAGCTACATTCGCCCCAAAAGCTATGAATCGGAAAATATATCCTATGGTAGAATGCACAACTTCCACCTTGGTATACAGAGTCCCATACAGGAAGTTGAGTTCGACCTCAATTATCCTCAGAGCGTCTTCGGCTGTTCTCCTAGTGAAGAAGTCACGGCTCTCATCACGCTCTCGGAAGCTCAAGATGAGATCGACCACCAGTCCCTTGAATATTTGGAAGTAGTCATAAGCATAGTGCACCACTTCGAGATGATCCAAATCGCCTTCCTTGGGTGGAGCGTCAGAAGCCTTGGATTCTTTATCAGGTTCTGGCGTCATATCTATTCGCGTTGGAAGTTTGGCGTCTTTCTTCGAAGCGTATTCCTCCATAAGCTTGGCATAGTTGGGCCCAGGATCCGGATCTTTGAGCATGGAATCCCGAAACTTGTCCAAGCTCGCAAGGAACAAAGCTCGTGTCCGCTCGACGTACTTGATGATTCCAGCGACAAACATGAGCGCTGTGGGGATCCATAGATTGTCGTTGGGAAGCGATTGGATGAAGACGTAAAGAACAGCTCCGGCCTGAAACCCGAGGCTAAGCAAGTGCCTCAGCCACAGTTGATTATCTTCAAGAGCAAAAGCAGTAATGGTATCAGGGCCGCCAAGGTGTAGTAAGAGAAAGGGCGCCCAGAATGCTAACAGATCAGTGCTCTCCGTGGGCTTGGGCTGACTAGGATTGTTGGATTGGTTGCGTTGGCTGTTGGAGATGAGACCAACAGCAAAATTGGCAGCTGCGTCAGCCAACAAGTAAGCAAACCAGATGAGCAAGATCACCCATGTTTTCCTTGCAGATTTTCTGATTGGCGCCACAAAAATCAGCACGACCTGCAGCCAGAGACTGAACAAAATAGACCCTCGTATGTTCCATTTGTCCCAAAGCTTTTTCACACCAAAAGGGATGGTTAGAGAGAGGTGGACCATATTTTCCCTCTACACTCTTTTCCTTCTCACTTCACTCTTTAAGCACAACATATGGAGCGAGCCAAGTCAAGCCATTTTCGTACCACTTTTTCCGATGGAACTGGCTCACTCTTGAGACTTGGCATGCATTGAGCACAATTTGTGTGGGTTGAACGGAGGTTTGAGTAGTATATTTAAAAACCCAAATTTTTGTAAATCTTTTACGTTTAAGGGAAAAATTGACAGCTTGTGGTTCCTTCGCACTTACAAAAGACTCTGCCTCTTCAATCTTTTGTCTTCTTCAACATTAAAGCTCATAATTTATAGACATAATTAATGATTTTAACAATTATACATGAAATTGATTTCCTCTCGGTTTATAACTGAAGGACAAGCAGTCAATAATTTAGACCTAATTATCGGAAAAGAAAATCATTATTGATTTTTCAAATGTTCCATGCTAATCAAATTTTTTGGAGAATAATATTAGATTATTCAACTCTATTTTGTCATGATGAAGCATTACTTCTTTTTCAACCTGATATTGTTCTTATTTCATGCAATCAAAATCTTCAACTCATTCAAAATGTATTTATCTTTATATACTGAAACATCATGCACTCTTAATTTTTAGAGAAAAAAAAATTAACTCTAATTAGATCTTGTATTCAAATTTGAGATTATAAAAATGAGGTCTATGAAAGAACCATATTATAATCCTAACATTAATCTTGTTATTTTTGGATAAGCCTAAGCCTAGCATGATTCTTCACATGTTGCTCTTTGGCTTTCCTTTTCGCAACAGAAGCTTCCCTAACTGGCATGAGACTTAGACGCTTGATCCCTACAAAAGCATTTTAGGCAAAAACGAGAATATTGCTGCTACTTAGTTGAGTTTCTTAAGTAAAGAATTGTCGTGGTACACGTTCTTTTTTTTTTTTTTTTATCTTTTTCCATCAGAATTGCTAACGGCACAAGTGATTCTTATTCTTAAGAGAAGCCAATCAATCATTTGCTGACGATTGTTGAGTGATGAAAGGAAAGCTCGGTCGGGAATATATAGATTGCTTGCTTGTTCGGGCATTCTTTCCTGGTCTTTTTTGCACTTTGGTTTGTTCTTCGTAAAACGGTACCAAGGGGGAATGTCTTCCGCCCTTTAGAGCTTTAAAGCTTAGTTTCTCGATCAAGTTTGTTGAGCTTTACTCTACTTTCTATAAGTACATCATTCTCCTTTACTTTGTGACTTTTTATTTATATATCTATTTTTGAAATATTTTGTGTACAAACTATATCTATGAATGCATAAAATAATTATAAAGTTGAAAAATAAATTTATTTTTCTGACACAAAGATTAAAAAACATACTTAGAAGACAAAAAGTTTATTCGTAAATAATAAATCAATAAGTTTTTTTTAAAAAGAATTATCTAAAAAGAACTATGTGCATAGAAAACCCACCTAAATGTTAAGTAAAAACTTTTACATAATATAAATCAGAAACCATTTAACAAATCTTGAAATTAAAAAAGTTCTTCTCATAAGTTCCTTTAATTATATATAGTATAGATATAGAGTTCTACTAGAAAAGGCATGCGATTCCTTCAATAGGTTTTCTAAAATTTCCCACTTATTGCTATGATTTTGATAAAAAGATTTATAGTTAAAATTAAATATAATTAATAAGAAGAGAATTTTTATTTATTTACCATTTTTTTAATAAAATAGTGAGTTTAACGGCTTGAATCTACAACCGTTAGTTTCTACCTAAATCCTACCTAAGAAGTGTGTAACAAGTTTCAAAGTATAACTTTTATCCAATAAAAATAATGAAGTAGAAAGGTTTTTATGTAAATATAACATGTATCCATCCACATAATGAAAAAAAAAAAAGGAAAAATTATGCCCCCAAATTGCTATAAAGGGAGGTTAGAAGCAAAGGTATGAGCATCAAGAGAGGGACAGTAATCGGTGTTTGAGAGCATTTGAGAGACTGAGAGCTGTTTCTTGTTTTCTTTCTGTCATTCAACTCCAGCCATGGCTCAAGGTTTTTGTTCATTATCTTTAATTATTTCCTTATTCTCGCTTTATTAATCAATTTGATCTATTCCTTTACAAAATAAACTATGTAATAATTTGATGTTCTGAATGATTTCTTGGTGATAGGCAAAGAAGACCAAAGCATGAAACGAAAGCTGTCTACTGCAAGGGAAAAGCAGCCAAAGGAAACTCCAGGTGAAGCTGATCATTAGTATCTTTGTTTTTAATCTTTATTCCTTCCCCTCCATAATTACAAGTTTCTATTATTCTTACTTGGTATAATTAGTAACATCAAATCTTAATATAATCTAATATTTATAGCAAATTTAAGTCAAACAATCTATTGCTTGTGATTAATTTATTTTAAAAATTCCAATGGAACCAATCTTTTGTTCAATTGTTTTACTAATGTTTTAATTTGTTTAAATCAATGTTTCAATCTTTTACATCATGACTAGTATCCACATGTTTATCTTTTAGATCATTTATGATACATTAATATAGTTATTTGGTTTAATAAAAAAAAATTATAAAGCAAGTCTGAAAATTGTAAAGTCTAGAGCTGTTTTTAGTTTTCCATTTTTTTCATTCAACTCCAGCTATGGATCAAGGTTTTTGTTCACTATATCTTTAATATTTCATTATTCTTGCTTTATTAATCAATTTGATCCTTTTCTCTACTAAATAAACTATGTAATTTGATGGTTCTGAATGATTTCATGGTGATAGGCAAAGACGGGCAAAGCATGATAGGACAACAGTCCTTTCAAGGTACAGCTGATAATCTTTCTCTCTAATCTTTAGTGCCTCCCCTCCTTAATCACTTTCTTTTGTTTAATTAACCAAATCCCACGACGACTTTAATGAGTTTCAATTGTTCATATATGCTTGGTATAATTAGTAACATCAAAACTTAATTAATAGCCTAATCAGTTCAAAAAATTCAAGTCTGAAGCAATCTTCTATTCAATTGTTGTAATGATGTTTTAATTCGTTTAAAAGTTTTATTGTTGCAATCTTTTACACCGTGACTAGCTTTTTATCTGTTTATCTTTTGTATCATTTGCAATACTTTAATATAATTATTTAGTTTAGTAAAAAAATTAAAAATTGTAAATTTTAGGATATATTCGTTTTATGTCGTTATTTTTTTATTTTTTGTTGGGAAATAAAGGATGAGAGTGAAAATGTATTTGGTGATTAATGGGGGAAAATATTTAAAAGCATCAATTTTAACTTTTTCAAAAGAAAATAAAATCAAATAAAACTTCTCTTCATACACAAAATTCAAAAGATCTATATAATTAAAAATAATAATGAAAAAGCTCTATGATAGTTGAAAATTTTTATACTCTATAATGTATATGTATATATAGTATAACTTACATTGAAAAAACTCACAATTTCACACTATTGTTTTGCTGTTAAAGTCTAGTTTAATAATTACATGTGAGAATTAAACAAATCAATTAATCCGACTTGTTAAATTAATTCTTTCATTTATATATATATATATTTGTATATGGTACTGTCTAGGGCATCTAATATTTTAATTTTATAGATTGTTTTTTTCTTTCTTTACATTGTTTTAAATCTTAGCTAGATGGGTCAATTAATAGAAATATTAATTAGTAGTTGTATGGTGTAATCCCAAATTCCCAATTGGTTTTTTTTTTTTAAAAAAATTCTATTCAATTGAATAAATCGTAAGTTATTTTCTGATATATGTAAAAGTCAAAATTTTGTTCTCTGTGATTTTTATTTTGTAAGAAATTATTAAAATTAATATATTTTTAATTTTATAATCTTTAAATATCAAAGATGATGTTGAAAGTCAACAGAATTTGTCATTGGTTATTAATTAATTTGTCGATATCTAAGCAGATGATTTTATTGGATATTTATGGTGTACTGTTTGATCTTTTCTAAAAAAAATAAATAACATTGTCCATTATGCATGAATATCAAACTCATTTACCTTTTCAAGAAAAAAAAATAAACTTGCTTGGAATAGTTTATATTCTAAATTGTGAGAGATATTACACCAGATTTTTCCTCATGATTTTGTAAGAATCTTTTAATTTTTGTTAATTAGATATTAAAAATTCTAATTTGCTATTTTTTGGATGCCAGAAATGGAATTCCCGAGTGCAAAAGCAAACATGGATGACGCAATGAAGATTCTTAATCTGTTGGAAAGGGGCAATGAAGAAAGAGTTGTCCTCGCCGGGGATGCAGGGACAGGGAAAACATGGTTGGCCCGACAAATAACCAAGTTTGCAACCGGTTCCAAAGGCTCCTTCTATATGTCTCTTTGGATATCTCTGAATGAAGGGTTCGACGACGACGGGTCTCTTCTCCATTCCCTTGCACGCCAGTTGCGTATCCCGACCAGTGCTAATGCGAATGTGTGGGAAGATGTTGAATATGCTGATGATGCTGATGATACTGACGGTGGGAAAAAGGATGTTGATGACAACCAGCTGAGGGTGAATGTGATAGAAAAGCTTTACGAGGAGAACAAAGAAATGAGTGAGAAGATGAGTAAGGAGAAGAGTGAAGCAAAACACACGTTTCTTCTACTGGTGTTGGATTCGGAAGGAGTGGTCATGACCGAAGATTATGATGACTTCGTGAATAAGCTTTTTCGTCCCGATGAAAATGTCACGGAGAAGAAAGCTTCATTCAAACACAAGGTTCTAATCACGACAAGGAAAAGTGATGAAGAAGGATCTATCACAAAGGACTCAAGGGTGGTTGAGGTTCAACCCTTTTCGGGGGATGAAGCAGTGAGGTTCTTGGAAAATCGAGTTGGGGAGGAAGTTTCTAGGGTTCCAAATTTCGAAATATTTTGTGATGCCATTAAAGAAAGGAGAGAGGTTTTGCCTGCTCAAATTAATTTGTTAACAGAAGCCTTAAATCAAATCGCAAAAGATGGTATTGAAGCATTGGAGCGTGCTTTCGATGTTGCAGCCCTTAACATTCTGCGGCGTGCTGACAAAGCTGACAAAGCCCTAGTTCATTTTGCATATGAAAAGTTGTCTGGAGACTGCCTGATTGATTGCTTTTGGCATAGCTGCAACTTCTTGGAGAAACATGGTGCTGTTAACTACAACGAGTTGATCACTCACTGGATTCTGGAAGGCCATCTTGATCTTGCTGTTGGTCTCAAGAAGGCTTACGAGAAGGGATACAATGTCATGATGGAGCTTATAGATCGTGGCATGCTGAAGATGCGAGAACCCAATCTTATTGTTTTGGAAGGAGGAACGCTTCGTTTGGTGGATCATAGCTGTCGTGGATTATCTGGGAAATCCAAGCTGGGGCTGGCTAGCGTGCTTGAGGGCGACAAAAAAAGGGTTTTTGAAAGAATGGCACCAGCTGATGGCATGATAAAGACAGTGCGAACGGATAAGAAAGGAAAAACGGTTTCCTCACTACTGATTGAGGGAAGCTATCTATGCAGGGAAGTCCCCGACACATTCTTTCAAGAAAAAGAGCACCTCAAAGTTCTGGCAATTTTTAATCCCAGGCTCACATCCCTCCCAAAATCCATATCTAAAATGGAGAATCTGCTTGTGCTTGTGCTCAGAGACTGTTATCTGCTGAATGACAATATGGAATGCATTGAGAATCTCAAAGCATTAATTGTTCTTGAGATATCTGGTGCACCCTTTCTGAAGGAACTGTCAGAAGTACTTTTTACAAACATGAACCAACTTCGAAGCCTCAATCTATCTGCACTCGGAATCAAGTCATTGCCAGCAAGTCTCTCCAACCTAACTGAACTACGCAGGCTCATCCTTAGACAGTGTTCTTGCCTGAAGGCTCTGCCAAAGCTAGCAAAGCTCAAAAACCTTGAGGTATTTGATCTTTCTGGATGCTCCTCTTTGATAAAGATCCAAGAAAAAAGTTTCAAGTCATTTGAAAAGCTTCGAGTCATTGATTTTTCTGAAACCAAAATTGAGAAATTACCAATTGTTCAGACTCTCCCACATTTAACACTCCTTTTGGCTAAAGGATGTGATCATTTATCTGGATTGCGCCTAATGAAACATCTGCCAGACCTCAAGGTTCTTGATGTTTCAGGTGCCACTAGGATAAAGGAAATACAGTATGACAGCTTTGATGGCACTGACAACCTTAGAATCCTTGATTTGTCCAAAACCGAGATTAGATTTTTACCTGACAGCCTTAGCAAACACCTCTGTGATCTCAGACTGAAAGGTTGTTCTAAGCTTGAAAAACTCCCTAGCACAAAAGCACTTACAGATCTAGAGTCTCTTGATCTTTCCGAAGCCTCCAATCTGCAAAAGTTGCCAGACGGATTTTTTGCAAATTTGTTTGGTCTTCAGTCCCTCAAACTCTCACATACCAAAGTTGAAAATCTTCCATCTCTTTCCAACCTTTACAACCTTCACCGCCTTTTCCTAAAAGGTTGTTTGTTTGAAAACCTTCCAGAGTTGAAAGAACTTAATAGCCTTGTGGAACTTGACCTCTCAGGTTGTGAAAGCCTGGTGAACTTGCCAAGCTTGGCCGATCTTAAATATCTTGAGATTATTAATCTTTCAAGTTGTAAAGCTCTGTCAGGAATAGATCAATCCTTCCAGCACATGTCTAGGCTTCAGGTACTCAATGTCTCAGAAACTCAGATTCCATCCTTACCATCCCTACCCAATCCTAGCAAACTCCGGTCCCTTATTCTAAGGAATTGCACCAAACTAGAAAAATCTCCAGATTTTCAAATCCTGTTAAAACTTGAGCAGCTTGACCTACGTGGTACAAGCTCTTTGAAGGATATCAAGGCCGAATCCTTCAATCATCTGGCTCAGCTTCGAACACTGAAGTTATCTAAGATTGCATTTGAGGGCATGCAATCTTCACTTTCAGCTTTGACGAAACTTGTGGTTTTGGATCTTTCCGGAGAACCTGTTGAGTCTTTGCCATCTCTTGACGATCTTAGCGAACTACGGCAGCTTTTGCTAAGAGGTTGTTCGTGCTTAAAGGAGTTGCGATCATTGAATTCTTGTCTAGAGGTGCTTGATCTATCAGGGACCAAAGTAAAGAATCTGGGAGAAAAAATTTCAGGGTTGACACATTTAAAGCGTCTTCATCTACCGGAGAAGGTGATTGAAGAATTTAAAGGGGAGAACGTCAAGTTCCTACCATTGGAGGTAAACTTGGATCGGTATTGTATCTCTGAGCCTTCTGAGATTCCTAAGGGGGATGAGAAACCTTCTATAGTTGTGCATGGCACAGAACTCTTCCAAAGTTTGAAGAAAGATCCTAAGTTAGTGGAGAGTATCATCAGTTCTATTTCCTCTGTTCACTCTGTTAAAACACATGACAGAGATGAGGACAATTACGATGACAGTCGTAGACAAATCTTCAGCAATATATACTCCATGATTAGAAAACTTCCTCTTGAGGCAAAAGATGTACAGCTCCTGGAAATTCGAGGATTTGATGATTATCCCACTGATATTGAGGTTATTCTTGAGCACGCCAAATATATCGTGCTGGTTGAAAATCAATTTTTGAAAAACTTGTCTGATTTAAAGCCTGATAGCTTGAAGAACATGAAAGGATGTTGGCTAGAGAGGTGCTCCGGAATGGAGAGTATTTTTGCCAAGGCTGATCTTGAAATGGAAAAAAGCCTTCTGATTCTGTGGATTTCCAACCTTCCCAGTTTGAAGAGTTTGTACCAAGAGAAAGTGCAATCCATGAGTTTTGGGAACCTAAAGATTTTGTACATTGATTGCTGCCCAACACTGGAAACTGTTTTCTCATCAGGGCAGCTGCCAGAAAACCTGGAAACTCTCCAAATTATGTTTTGTGATAACTTGAAGAATTTGTTTGGAGCTAAGGATTCAGCCAAAAGTGAAGCTCAAACCACAAGTCCAGCAGACAAGGAAGTGGATACCACGAGTTCCACAAAGAAGGAAGTGCAGACCACAAGTAGAAGCAATCTCAAGCTTTTGCATATATCCCATTGCCCAATGCTTGAAACTGTTTTCTCATCAGCGCAGTTGCCAAAAAGCATAGAAATTCTACGAATCAAGTGTTGTGGTAAGTTGAAGAGTTTTTCTGGGCAGGAGCTGATCAACTTGGAATTGCCAAACTTGTACACGTTACATCTGTTAGAACTGCCAGCTTGGACTGCGTCCAGCATCGGCCTAAAGTCAAACAAATCAATTCCAAATGTTGATGTTAGTCCCAATATACCTGTAGAAAAATGTCTCAGGTCAGGAAACGCATCAAAAGAAATCACTAGAGCTGATGAGAATTGAGATTTAATGGAAGTCAAAGGGCCTCGAGCAGGTTGGCCGTGTGTAATTTCAGGTTCGTTAATTATAGCTCCCCTGCATCTTTGCACTTCATATAATACTTCTCATTACTGTTTAGCTTGCAATGTACTGCTATCATTATTAAAATTTAAATAAACAAATATCTTGTTTGAGTTAGTTTCTTTTGTTCTGATCCAATACAGAAATACGAAGTGGAGATATACCAATTGAGGAAAAACTAAGAGGAGGACAATGTGGAACGTGGACATAAGAATCTTAGGTAAGTTGGATTGATTTGTTCAAGTAGAGAGAGGAAAGAGAGGTAAACAGACACATGGGATGAATACAGAGGGAGAGAGAGAGAGATTTGTCCTCTTTAGATCTTTCAGTGATTTGATCCACTGTGAGAATAAGTTTCTATTTCCTACCTAATTGATTAATATTGCCTAATGATCGTGGGGTTAGAAGCTAAAACTATTATACATAGTCCATAGGATAGGTATATCCTAAAAGTTGATATTGTTAAAAACACATATGAAATTCAGTCTAGATGGAAAGCTCTAATGGCTTGATGAGCAGAATGATCTCCATCTTGCAAATGGTCATTTATGACTTCAGGTCCTTCTTTGTTTTATATTGTACACAATGGGCTCATTCCTGCTTATATTACATACAGTTTCAGTGAAGATTAAGAATTTAAAACCACCTGCAGCAACCATGTGTAGCTCTCTGACTTCTCTGTTTGCAAGGCTGTCTCTGGATACTGTGCATAAAAGATTATTTTTCTGGGTTAAGCAAACCTAGTGATTTGACTGAAAAGAAGCTCTAGCTGTATTATTAGGTCATTACAAAATCAACTTTGTCCCAATGTTGGCACATCACTGAGTTGGTTAATTTTGAGCGATTCTTCAGGATATTTTCCAGCACGCTGTGCATGTACTTGAGCCACACTTCAATACAACCCATGATATGCAGGCATTAATGGTTTAGGCATCTTTGAAATCGCCTTTTTTCTTGCCTGGATTATAAGTTGTGATCTTGATTATGCAATCAATTTTGTGCTTTTCTAGGTTTGATGAGATCCCTGACTATTTAGTGCCCAAAATTCATTGTGAAGTTGTTTTTATGCAGGGGTTTCCTTATTTAGCCATACAATCAGAAATTGATCCAAGCTGCAAGCTGCTTCCTATGAGTATACAAGCCAATAAATGCTTTCCAGGATGAGCTGCATGGTCAAACTTTCTATTCTTATAACCTGGGAGTGAAGCTGCCTGCTGCAATGTCATATTGTGAAGGAGATAAGTGCTTTGGAAGTGAAGATCTTGCCTTTTGTAAAATCTGATGGAATTGCAAAACTCTAAATCTTGATGTATTAGAACATCCCCGTGTGTTTTCAAGACTCTGAAAATTTCCTGAATGTATTGTTTAGTTTAAGCTTTTGAAAGTATACCAGAATTATAGTTTGAATCCAGTTTCCTGCTTTTGAAAATTTGTTATTCAAGGCTTGGAAAACTGCTCTTTATTACTTGCAGATATGGAGTTATCTTGATCTTCCGATTCCTCCTATTTTTCCTTTTTTACCAGTAATTCTCTTTCCAAAGCGACACCCCTCTCTGCGCCTTTCTTAAGGAGTGCAGATAGTGAAGAACGTTAAAAAACCCAACAAAAAAAAAATTAAAAATCGTTCTCGTTCAGCCTTCTATGTCTGACATGTTAGCAGCAAGTTGTTCAAACAGAACTGCAAAATCCCTTTACAAAAGTGTACTTATCCATCTCTAACTGCCCTAATCCTATTATTCTACTCCTTTTTCTTCAAAAGAAGATCATTTTAGAAAGAAGAGATGATGTTTTCACGCCATGGAAACGGCCCGCCAGCCAGTAGGAGAAGTTTCCAGCTAGACAGGTCGCCTGTGGGACAGCTAAAGCGTAGACATTGGACCGTAAGCGCCGATTATTGTTGTTCCTGGATGAAATCTTCAACATTTCTATTTGTTTTGACACCTTTCCTGTTGGCTTTATTGCATAGAGATGTATGCCCTCTATTATTGCAGTTTGCAATGGCTTGTCAACTGCTCTTTTAGGGTTCTTGAGAGATTTGCTTAGATATAGATATAGGTTGTAGGACTTTCAAAGGCCAACTGTTGCAATTCAATAAAACAGCTTGTAAATTTGAGGAATCATTAGTACACAAAACAAATAAGCAAATTGCAAAAGGACAGCGTCATTTCAATTTTCTTCAAGTAACACTTGGTATCTTCTTTTTTACTAATTACTCCCTTCTTGATAAGCTTTATTCCCATAAAGTCTTATCACATTAATTTTTTAGTAAATTTGTCAAAATATTTTTAAGTGTGAACAAATTAAATTGAGGGTATTTTGATAATTTTATTATGTGCAACTAACAGTGTAATCTTTTTCGTGAATAGGACTTATATGTAGAGAGTAGAGAGCTAATTGAGAAAAAGAAAATATAATGTATTATATGATAAAAGTTAAAACCATAAGAGATGTAATTGGAGATTATATTTATAAAAATCATTTAATAATCATATACAGTTAGTGTTAAAAATTACTTTTAAGTGTAAGAGAGAAAAAAAACAAAGTATTCTTGTACATATAAAAGCAAATAATTAATGAAGAAAAAAAAAAAGAAGAATTAAGAATAAAGGATGAAGGAGAGAGAAAAGCAAGAGCGGAATTAAGAATAGAAAATAAAAGGAAAGGAAAGGCATAAGAAAAGAAAGAAAAAGAAAATGGAATGAAACAGTACAGATAAAAAGAGAGAGAAGGATGAAGAGTAAGGAATAATAGAGAAAATATTGACAAAGGGAAACTAAATTAAAAAAAAAAAAGGAAAAGAAATGATTGGTAAAGATGAATAAAGGAAATAAGAGAATAAAGAAAAAAAAAGCAAACAAGGATGATGAAGACAAAAGAAATAAAGGAAAAATAAAATGAATAATTAAAGAAGAAGCAAATAAAAAGGTTAAAGAATATAATATATAAAACAAGAGGAATAAAGAAAAAGAAGAAGAGTGAAGAAGTAAAAATTATATATACATAAAAAAGAAAGATTAACAACTCAAAAGATGGAAAAGTAAAGAACAATATATGTAAGAAAAAGTTTGAGAAACAAATAAAATAGATAAAAATTAATTAAAGAGTGAAGACAAGTTGGAAGAAAAGGAAAATATTTTTTAATTATATAGATCATCTTATAAAAAATAGTTTTTATATATCCTTTATAAAAAATATTTTTTATAATAATTAAAATTTTTTTTTTCTTTATATATGTATGTCTGTTGGATCATTATTGTGGGAAATATCAATTTAAATTAAAGAAGCAGAAGAAGCAAAGGTAATATATAGACAGTAGCAGGCAATTCTGAAAGAGAAAGATGCATCAATTTGAGTGCGATGACTATTAGGACAAGCCTCCATAGTCCGCAGTGGTCAGTGCTCAATTTGCACAGAAAGAAGGAAGGAAAGAAAGAAATAAAAAAACAAACACTTGTAATTCAAGAACACACTTTCAACCAACAAGAATGAATGAGATTTTTGATAACCTGCAGCTGAATTCGATATGTCATTTATGACAAATCAATTATATTAGACCTCCAATCTATTTTTTTCAAGATTTCAGCCACACTCCACTTGCATCGCAAGGGCTGAACGCGACCTCATAGCATTTGACGCTCTCAAAATGTTTCAAGTTTGGAAATTGAGTCTGCAGATCTTTCCAGTTCATCTTTAGGCGACTCAAATACCTCAAACGTAAAATCTCAATCTTCTCCCACTTCTTGTCACCCAGGTCACTGAGTCTTCCACCTCTTATATAGAGCTGCTTTAGTCTAGTTAGCTTCTCCGGCACCAGCCAACTTGGTGGTTTTGTTCCACGGTAACCCTGAAGGTCCAATTTTACTAGTCCTAATTCGTTAGCTTGTCCCGCACTCGCCGGTCTTCCTTCTTGCCCGGAGCTTGACATCTTATGTTTCGAGAAAGTACCCTGTGCTTCTTCCTGCTTTTCATTACCTTTCCTCTCGCCTTTGTTTCCACAAATAAATTTTGCTAGACAACAGCGCTTCTTTTCTAGCGTTGGTTTTGCTTCAACGCTTTCCTGCTTTATTGTTTCTTCCTCGCCTTCCCACGCTATTTTCAGCTTCCGAAGTCCCGTAAATTTGAAGAGAGCATCTCCTGCAGTGTCTATATTGAACTTCCCGCTGTCTACATTGACATTGAGTTTCCTCAGATTTGTTAGCAGTGCCAGGTCGTCTAGAGTACACGAGCTTTTGCTATCGCTAATCACAAAACCCTTGAGGACTTGGAGTTGTGAAAGGGAACTCAGCTGTTTGGGCATGTGATAAAGAAAATAGCACTCAGATATATCCAAGTAAGTGAGATTCTTGAGTGAGCCTATTTTGTCTGGCAGTGTCTCCAGATTATGACATGCTCTAAGATCTAAGATTCTCAAATTGATGAGTTCGCAAAGAGATCCTTCTAGCATCGTAATTCTGGAGATTCCTTGAAGACTCAAAAGCCTTAAACGCTTCATATTTTTCAAACCTTCCAAGAATTTAGTGCTTTCCACCTCTATGTGGTGCTTACGTATGCTCTCCCATCTTCCCAGATAAAGAACGCTGATGCGTGTCATCTTGGAAAATAGCTCCAATGGAAAATCAAGATATTGCTTACTTATGTTGAACAATGTTAGCTGCTTTTCCGGATTTGTTAGTTGTTGCTTTTTCGAATTTGTTTGCTGCTGCTGCTTTTCCACGGTCTGGGAAGAATTTTTAGATGACCAATAAGGTCCTTCGGATTTTATCAGACATGCCTTTTGGCTCGCTGAAGAATCCATCTTCGGGTTTCCTTTGGAGTCGTAATCAAAGAAGTTAGCCTCCTTGGCAAGCCTGATCAACAAAGAACGAACAATTGGGTGCATCTTATAGCTGGTAGCAGGCAATCTACTTTTTTTCTCGACAGGCTCAATGAATCCCTCCTTGACAAATACTCCAAGAATGTGGTTCATAGGATCCATCTCCTCCTTTTCCCCTGGAATTTCCGTTAAACTCTCTCCAAGCCACCAAAGTCTTAGAAGGCTCTTCTTAATTTCTGCCTTCTCCGGGAAGATTGCGAAACACAACAAGCACAGCCGGAACTTCACATCAAGGCGGTCATATTTGTCTTGAATTTCTTTGAAAAAAGAGCGTTTGGGCTCAAGTATTTTTGCTGCTTCATATAGATTAGGCAGATCACCTTCTTCCCTGCTGCAGGCAACTGTCTTCTGCAAATTCCAACTTGGTCCAGAAATTAAGTTTGAGGCTTGATGCTGCGATGGGATCTGGATTTTCACTTTTGTGATGTTGGTACTCAGAACTTTAAGATTGTGCTCAATCCGCTGGTCAAAGGAGCGACTTGAGGATTCAAGACCTTTCAGGATGTCATCGACATTGCCTTGAAGAGTTTTGACCTGTTTTATGAGATCATTTTCAAAATTCTTCAGTTTCTGAAATGCTCTAATCATTTGATTGAGCTCTTCGCATACTTTCTCAAGCTGAGGAGGCACTTTTTTCTCTTTTGTCTTTTTATCTTCATCCGCAGCTTTGCTTTCCTTCCCTTGATTGCCTCGATCAGAAACATCGACCTTCTCCTTCCTGTTGATCACCGCCTTGTTGAGAAGTTCATGCAAACGGTTTAGCTTTTCAATGATAATCTGAATGGAGATGATTTCAGCGGATTCTGTCAGCTGCACTGAACCACCCTTAGATGAAGACATGTCTAATGGTTGAAGAGAAAATTAAGCTGAGGAAAGAGAAATTAAAGGTGTGCATCATGAAATTCAATAGCAGAAGCTCTTGGTATAAATCCTCAGTAGAATCCAATTCGATGGCGATTCTATAAGCGTTTGGAGTTCCCAAACTTTGCAATCAAGAAAGACATTTATTCTTTCACCTTCCATGGTGGAAGCGTAAAGAAATTCACTCTCTAATCCTTTGGAATAAAAATCTTCTATCTCATTTGTTATATTTTTTATAATTTACGCAACATACTAAGAAAATATTTTACATAAACATCACTTTTTCAATTAAGTTACTTGTTTTTTTGGTTGATAGCATTAGATTAGACATAGGACCTAAAATTATTAAGAAAACACCAAGTAGGGCTAGAGGATTTTTATTTAATCTTTTGAAATTTTCATATACTTTTTTTTACACAAAACATTACCGATATGACATAGATTTAAGATTTTTAACTCATGTTTTGCTCGTTACTTTTCAAGCGGACTGATTTGCTAATTTGCATACTTCTTACTAAAACATTAAAGGAATAAAAGAAAAGAGATTAATTATAAATATATGATAATAGTAACATATTATTTATATATATATATATGTGTACAAGAATTTTGGAATTTGGTTACGATAATAGTCACTTAAAATAAAGGATACACTCTCCTATCATATAGTAAACTGGTTTTTGCGTTTCTCTGAGTGTGATTGCTTAATGTGGTAAGCCTTCTGCCAATCCATGCGAGTAGTTGCGCTTTTTGTACAGCTTCTCTTTGCCAAGGCGGTCTTCATGTCAATGAGAGTTTTTGATAGTTTCAACTTCAAACGAACAATCACATATCAGTTGTGTGATCAATAAAATCCACTTTTCAAAAAAGAAGCTTCTACGTAAAGTACGTGACATTAGAAGTTGTAAGTTACGAGCAGTGCATGAATATTTGGTGAGGGGTGGCGACTCACCAATATTCTTAGCCACGGGCAGAGGATGAAAATATATGGTGACAGGAGAAAACGGTGGCAGCCCGCAGCCATCAAGGTGGGGGGCGGGGAGGGAATGAGTTTGCCATTTATGGCTTTACTCCATAGACTGAGAGAAGGGTAATTTTGTTAGATAGGAGGTGGGATTTTTTTTTCCTCAACCAAGAAATAAGTTGTATTAATAAATTACATAAAGCAGCAATATTTACAAGCACTGCATGGTGCCTATAAAAGTCACTAGCATATACAAATGTAGACAATATGCTCTTGTTAATAGACATAAATCACATAGATTAAACAAGGCGTATAACAAAGCCAAAAAGTTTGTAACAAAAAGAGATGCATATTAACTTAAGCCACATCAAAAACTTGAGAGCTGCAACCACACTGAAACATCAAATCCTTGCCAACTCCATGCTACGGGTTTCCTTCTTGTAAAGTGTGTAAATTGGTAACACCACCAAGTGATTGCAAAAGTTTTCTGGATGGGCCCGTAAAGTGATTCCTCACCATTCTAGTTTTATTAGAGCTTCCCATTCCTCTGATATTTCGACATAAAGAGTGCAGACTGTTTGAAGAAGATATGGTCAGTCAACAGCAAAACAGAATAATGAAGCCCAACAATGAACCAGCCATTTTCCACACACAATGACATTCACACAACGAAATCATCACCAACAACCATGATTATAACTCCATATCTTAGCATAAATACATATTCAGGTAGAGCTATTTGAGTAATTAAACTTCAAAAACTTCACTTCTGGCAACACTCATAATACTCCCATTCTCCTGAGCAACTGTCGTCATTGAAAGTTGATTCTGCCTTCTCTCATTCAAACATGATTCTACGAAAAATCCTAGAGCCTTCATCGTCTCTAATTCTATTTTCCAGCTCCCTGTATAAGATTAAGATCAATGATATCCATGAATCTTTCTCCTTCGAGAATTTTCCTAGCAAAAACCACCAAGTTGGCATTTTCCTTTTCTTTGTTAAATTCAATTGTTTTCTTGGGAGTCAACAGCTCCATCAAAAACGACTCCAAAACTGGACACATCACACTTTTAAGTCAACTGGCATGACCCACATCACTCAATTCCATGTTTACATTTCACCAGGCTGAAACTAAAAATTTGTATGTAGAAGTACCACACCATTGTGAACTTCCCGCAAAAGATTCTACTATGAATTGCAGATGGGTTATCTGATTTGCGATCAAATCAGCGTCTTCTTGTTCTTGGTTTAACTATTTTTTGAATTTTGTTCAAAATTTGATTCTCTGGGTAATTTAGTGTAAGCTCAAATGTCACAAACTACGTTCTTTCGTTGAAGTATGTAATAGTTTGTATGATACTTGAATTGACACTTTCACACAAGTCAATTAATGCTCAGTGTTATTTGTTTTAATATTAATATTAATAATAAATCAAATTAAAAGAATTTACATTAAAATTAAAAAAAAATCAAATGTCATATGTGCAACCACTTAATCATAAAAAAAAATATTTTATTAATATGAAATTGATTATAAATGATCTAAAACATGTCATCGTCCGTCAGACCATTAAGGCAACCTTAAATAATTTACTATAAACATACTTTTATCAATAAAGCAACTCAACAATACACCAACTATTTACTTCTTATAAAGAGTTTACGAATTTTTATAAGTATTTTACCAATAACCATTACAATACTTAAAATGAGGATATTTTTTTCTTAAAAAGTCTTCTTCTTAAAAACTTAATAAATATTTATGAAAACGTTATCACTAGCCGTTACATTATTTGAAAAAGGAACAATTCTCTTATAAATACAAAAAACTTAATCTTCTAGATAATTTTACCCTATCATAATCTAATACAAAGTTAACTCATGGCACCATGCTTCAAACCCATGTTCCATACATCTTCAGCTTCCTTGATGATTACTTCATTCCTGTGACTAATATCACCATCAGAGAGGGTATTGGCTGAGGCTGAGCTATTCAGATTTGGTGGGTAAGTCTTCCTTGTGAGGCCTTGAATCCCTTTCTTCCTTAATTTCTTGAATTTCTTTGTAGCCTTTGCAATAATTTTTTTGTCAAATGAATCTGCCAAACACAACTCATCAAAGTGGTTGTTTGCTTCAGCTACTTCTATGGGTTCCAAATCTGCTGAAATGGTGAAAATGGGGTTTTTGGAATTGCTTGAAGCTTCAAATGGTGCATTTTCAGGTTCTGTTTCGAGGGTGGGGACAAGGCATGGTAGAGCGAGTCATTTGTTGCTGACTGGTCAGTTAGAGGATAATAATTAGGCTCCAAATGGGCTTGGGTCTCCAACAGTTCCAGTGGCTCGACTAAGGGTCCAACCTAATCCATACAAAGCCCATTATCTATGACTTCACCTGGGCATGATTCATTCGCAATATGGGCTGCTGGGTCGGCCACATTTGCCGAGGATCCTGAATCTGGGCTCATTGGGCTTTGGAGAGTGTGTGTTGCTGGGTTGTGGGTCCTTTTAACCATTGCATGGGCTTGGTACTCCTCTTTTTGGGCTATTGCTTGGCTCACTGGAAATTTCCCTAGTTGCTTCGGGTTGGGCTCCTATTAGGTGGCCTTTCCAGTCTATAGTCAACCCAATGCTTCTACATTCATTTGGACTTGAAGAACTAAATGGGTCGCATGGTCCCTTTGCTTGCAAGGGCAAAATAATCTCTTCACTTGTCAATGGCGCCTTGCTTTTGCCCCTCATACGCTGACTCTACCCCGCACCCCCAGCGTCATCTGCTTCCATGTGACATGGGTGGTTTTCTTTGGATGAGAATTCAGAAGAGGAGCAAGAAGCACAGTCAAATTCTTTCCATTTAGACCAACCTGGATATTCTGCGACACATTCAGGAGCAAATTCTTGTACGTTAATAGAAAAAAACTGGTTTCACACAGCAAGATGAATATACTCATCAATGGTTTGCAAACTGTTAGTTGTGATCAGCATCGTGGTCCTTTCAAAGGATTGAAACCTCATTGTTTCATCCCCTAGACAGATGAGCTCACCCCATAATTTCGCAATATTGTAGAAAGTTGTCCTACTCCATGCATGAATGGGGATCCGTGAACAAGAAATCCAACATCTCCTAGCATTGATGCCCGAGTTTGGAGAGCAGACATCTACCTTGTCAAACCATTATTCAAGCCATGACCTATTCCCAGCTTTGTCTTCTTCAAATTTTACCCTATTTTCGAAATAAATCAGAAAATGAAAACCCACAACACGCCTGATGGATATCCCATTCCTCCCATCTTCCCGCATCAATTTTTCCACATCTTCAGGTTCACTGTAATTCTTGCAAACAGCTACAAGACTTCTTTCAAGCCAATGTAAGTTTTCATTCTCAATGAACCCAGAACATATCTTGTGTCCCGATGGGGCTCGGTGGAGGCAGCAGCGTGGGTTCCGGTTGTTCAGCTTCCCCCTCTATCACGGCCTGCAAATAAGATTTAGATCCCCGCACACTATTAGCAGCGGAGCCCCTGATATTCGAATGCCCAGGATCAAAACCCAAATTTTGGGATTTTAATGTATCTCTGTTTCTATCATCTAAATTCACCTGAGAATTGGGTTGAGCTTTGCCTGAGCACGTGGTCCAGTCTGAGCATCTTTTGAACCTGAGCTCAGTGATTCGTCTCTCCGCCGCCAGTAAGTTTGACGCGAGTTGTGTTTAGCTAGGTAAACTCCCAACTTGCAATCAAAGAACCAAACCCCATGTGAACTTTTAATCGCCACCTAAGCATCGCTTAGTGACTGATAATGAATAAAGCCAAAAGCTTTCCCTTTGTTTGATAATTTTCTTGGCATAAAAACATCCAGAATATTCCCATACTTCTCGAAAATAACTCTCAGCCATCGAGGTGTAGTTTTTGGGGGAAGCTTTCCCACAAAATCGTAGTGTTTTCATTCCTTTGGGTGCGCTCCGATTGTCCCTGATTGCTTGCCTCGATGTTTTGTCTATTCCCTCCTACAGCAGCCATCGCTTGATGACCGAAATATAGGAGGTGGGATAATTTATTTTTTATTTAAATATATATAATTTGCAATTGTACTTTTAAATAATTAATAGACATAATGCTAAAAAAATTCATGAATTATTTTTAAAAAATAAAATAAAGTTTTATTTTTTATTTTTTTAATTAAGTATTTATATTTTTATTTTAAATCAAATATGTAATTATATTATTTACCATTAATCAAAATATATTTAACTCAAATAAAAGTAAAATTCATTTGATTCAAAATAAAAATACAAAAACTTAATTAAATGAAATAAAATATATGTTTAATAAATATTTTAAAAATATATATAAACATAATGCCTTAATTACTTAATGATCTATAAAATCATATTCAAATCTTATTAATAATATTTAAGTGATTTTAAGTTAATATAATGTTTTAAATACAAATCAAATAGAAATATCGATCTGATCCCATATTAATAATTATGTTTAAGACAGTATTTGAAACTTTTTAAATTTTTACTCCCTTCAACAATATTTCCATAAAAGAGATTCGAGTACATTTATTTTAACAATGGATAATATCTCTTACTCAATAATTATGATATTCAAATCCCCTTTCTCAAAACATTATATATATATATATATTATAAAATTAATAGCATAATGTTTGACAATGATTGTTATTGATTCCGTCACCACCAACCACATGGATATGGCGACACAACCAAATGAGGGAGAAATGTTGGAAGGCTGAGACCTGAGAGCATTACGCGAAGATAAAAACACAGAGAAGAAAGAAAGTAAAATTATTACATAAATAGTTTTAAGACAAATAAGTCAGACACCTGGGTGCGACCACACCAGTGCAAACACTATAATTTATTTTTGAGCCTTAAACATAAATGGATCCACTTGTAAACAAATTTGTTTACTTTCCGGGAACCAGTTTGGCCAATGTATTGGTTTGGAAGTAATGGCCAAGACCAAGGTGAGCCATCAGTAACCAAACAAAAGTAATAAGCTCCCCACCTTTGCTTATTTGCTGAGCATGTGAGCTTGCTTTGCATTGGGTTGCAGCATAGGAGAGTAATTCCACCCATACCTTGCTCATTAACAACCATTTCTTCTCTCCCAATTTGTTTAGCTCTTTGGCCAGCCTGCATGCATCAAACAACACGGATTTACTTCTATCTCCCTTCAGGTACACAGGTTTAACCTCTGTATTGACGTCATAAATTTCTTTGCAGGCCTTCCTGTCTTGATTTGGTCCTAAACCTGTTTTCTGAAATAACCTTTCAGCCTCGGCACAAGTGTCTTGGAATCTTATTTTTCCTATACCCGCTACATTGGACATCATAGTTGGCCGCATAACTAAAATGTACAACATGTAATCTGAGAGAAGCTTACTGAACCGTCGATTTTTCGAATCGGGGTCGTTCCAATTGTCAGTGTCAGTGTAGTGGCAGATGTCAGTGGCAATGTGCCACAAAAGAAGGCTCTCATCGTATTCGACCTGATCACCTGCAAATTCCATTAGGTTGCTATAATCAGATTCTGCCGATATACTCAGAGCCCATTCACCTCTACTTGAGGATATCCTCTTGGCATCTTCTGGACTATCTGCGAAGACGGATTTTGCTTTGAGCTCCGCAAAGATAAATTCCCATAACTCCTTAGTTAATGGCTCTTGGGACACGTATCTTATTTCATCCAGAAAATCCTTAAGGCTCGTCTTTGTAGTGATGGTTCTTGGAATAAAGCAGAAAAACCAAATGGCTTTACCGACAACATTGTTTTTTTTTATTCTTTGTAAAGCCCTGACAACAGAGTTTGGCAACAGCTGAGGCAAATGCTTTTCCCTGAACTCCGCAACTTTAATTGTACTTTTTTTTCGAAGGCTGAAATTCCCACAACTGGAGGGTTCATGGATTGTGCTCGGACTGCTATGCAGGCAATACCTTATGAAGTTGTGTGCTGAGACAGATTCAGACCACCTGCGAAACAGAATGCGTGTACCCAAGGCTCCAAAGTTCACTCCCATACATTTATAGTCGTACCACCGACGCCTCTTGACAGCAAGGAAGCCCCTGAAGATAGCAGCCACCGGAAATAAAATAATTGAACGAACAGGGCTCTTGATGGAAGCAAAAGTCCAATCGGAGAAAATGAGCATGAGGAACGCTACAACCTCCAGGGCAATGGCACCGAGGAGCAAGATGTAGGTGATTTTGACATTAAATGGATCGTATTCATTTTTGTTTGCTTTAAAATGGAAGAGCCCAAGAGCCGCTAAAACGGACCCAAAGGCTGTGAATCGGAAAAGATAGCCTACAATAGAATGCATTACCTTCATCTTGGTATAGAAAACCCCATATATGAAGGTGAGTTCAACCTCTATTACTCTTAAAGCATCTACCGGTTCCCTCGCTAAGAAGAAGTCTCGGCTCTCCTTGCGCGCGTGGATACTAAACATGAGATCGACCACAAGTCCCTTGAAGGTTTCAAAGAAGTGATAAGCATAATGCACCACTTCTAAATCATCCAATTTGCCTTGCTTCGTTTCCTTGACTTCTTTTTCAGGCTCTTGTACCGTAATTATTCTCGTTGGAAGATTGCCCTCTTTCATAGAAGCATATTTCTTCATAAGCCGTGCATAGTCGGGCCCAGGATCTGGTTTCTGGAGCATGGAGTCCCGGAATCTGTCCAAGCTTGCAAGGAACAAAGCACAAATCCGCTCAGCATACTTGATAATTCCGGCAACAAGCATAAGCAATGTGGGGACCTGCAACTTGTTTCTGGGAAGAGATTGAATGAAGACATAAAGAGCGGCTATGGCTTGGAGGATGAGGCTAAGCATGTGCCTCAGCCAGAGTTCATTATCCTCAAGAGAAAAAGCTGTAATGGTATCAGGACAACCAAGGTGTAGTAAGAGGAAGGGAGCCCAAAATGCTAAAAGATCGCTGTCTCCCTTAAGGCCAGAAGGATTAGATTGGGTGCGTTGGCTGTTGGTGATGAGACCAATAGCATAATTAGCAGCTGCATCAGCGATCAAGTAAGCACACCAGATGAGCGCAATCAAGGGTCTCCTCCTTGTGGATATTCTGAATGGGGCGACCAAAGTCAGGAAGCTCTGCAAGAGGAGGCTAAACATAAGAGCCCCTCGGATATTCCATTCATCCCAAATCTTCTTGATGAAGTATAGAGCAGTAGTTAGAGCTGGCGTGAGCTTAATCATATCCTCCCACTCTCGTTTTCTTCTTCGGTTCACTCTTGTTTTTCTTTTTTCTTGAAAAGCACACTCTTAGGTTCACTCTTGTTAGTAGCAAACCAATAAACATAGGCATCAAGCCATTTCTTCGTCTTCTTATATTAAAAGAGTGGCCCTCGCTGCCTCGCCCTTGCCCTTGTTTTACAAGGGAAGGATTAATCGTGTTTTTGCTACAGTCATTTTCTTATATTTTTACTCTGTTTAATTAATCACTAAGCTTTAATTAAGAAAATTAGTTAGAAACCTAGGTATGATTTGATCTATTTAATTACCAAGCTCTGCCAATCTATTGATTTTATCTTCAGTTTTAATTTTTTATTTAACCATCTTAACAGAAAACTTCACAATTTCACCTAAAGAGAGAATACTAAACAACTAACTAATTGTTCAGCTTTCATAATAACTATGAGAAAAACAGTATATTAATGAAATATAAAATTAAGAAAAAATGAGTGAGATTTCAAATTGAAGATGAATGGGAAAGAATATGACTAAAGAAACATAACAAAAGGTACCAAGAGAAGATTAAGAATTAAATAAACAGGAAAAAGAAAAAGAAATATATAAAGAAGAAGAAGAAGAAAAATTTTTAAAAAAAAGGAAATAAGGATTGAAGAAAATTGGAAGAGAGAGAGAGAGAGAGAGAGAGGAATAATAGAGAAAATATTGAAACATAAAAAGGAACAAATGAAGGGTAAAGTTGGATAAAGAAAAAAAACAGGAAATGAGAGAGTATTAAATTATTCTTATTTTATGTAATCAAAATCTTTGTCACATTTAGCAACCATTTATTTTTATATAAAAAACCTCAGGCACCCCTAACTTTTAAAGTAAAAAATTTTAACTTTAAGATATTGTATTCGAATTCGGGGTTATAAAAATGAGATTTATGAAAGAATTATATTTATATATATATATATATATTATCTTCTTTCATATACAAAATGTCAAACATAAGCCTAGCATGATTCACATGTTGGGGGTACCTTCCTCTTTGGCTTTTCTTTTCGTAACAAAAGTTTTCTATAGCTGGCATGAGACTTGACTGTTATTCCCTACAAAAGCTTTTTAGGTTAAGAAACAAGAATATTGCAACTTATTTGAGTTTCTTAAGTAAAGAATTATTATAGTACACTTTCTCTCTTTTTTTTAATCCACTCTTATCAAAATTGTTAAACGCACAAGTAATTCTTATTCTATTACTTTCTAATAGAAGCACATTCATTTGTCAGTGAGTAATTCTTATTGGAAGAGAAGCGAATTCATTTGTGGACGAAGGGTGAGGTCAAGTGAAAGGCAAGTTCGGGAATATATGGATTGCTTGCTTACTCGAGCATTTTTTTGAGGTCATTTTGCGTTTTGGACTTGATATGTTTGTCGAGTTTTATTGTATTATTTATAAATCATTTTCTTTTTCTTAGTATGTGTGTTTTTTTTTATTTATATATTTATTTTAAAAAATTTTAACATATACATGTTTCTTCTATGAATGGGAGTAGTATATTCATTTGCCAATGAAGGATGAGGTTGAGTGAAAGGCAAGTTCGGGAATATATGGATTGCTTGCTTACTCGAGCATTTTTTTGAGGTCATTTTGCGTTTTGGACTTTGATATGTTTGTCGAGTTTTATTGTATTATTTATAAATCATTTTCTTTTTCTTAGTATGTGTGTTTTTTTATTTATATATTTATTTTAAAAAATTTTAACATATACATGTTTCTTCTATGAATGGGAGTATGTATATTCATTTGCCAATGAAGGATGAGGTTGAGTGAAAGGCAAGTTCGGGAATATATTGATTGCTTGCTCGCTTGAACATTCTTTGCAGGTCTTTACACACTTTGCACTTTGGTATCTCTATCTAGTTTGTCAAGCTTTATTGTACTATTAATATGTCATTCTCTTTTTTTATGTGTGTTTCTTTTTCCTTTTATTTATATATGTATTTTTTAAAAAAAATTTTAATATGTACGTATTTCTTTTGTGAATGTAAGTATGTATATTCATTTGTCAACGAAGGATGAGGTCAAGTGAAAGGCAAGCTTGGGAATATATTGTTTGCTTGCTGGCTCGAGCATTCTTTCGAGGTCTTTTTATACTTTACACTTTGATATCTCTATTGAGTTTGTCGATTTTTATTGTACTATCTATATGTTGTTTTCTGTTTCTTTGTGAGTGTTTTTTTATATATTTATTTATTTTTTAAAATTTTAATGTACATGTGTTTCTTTTATGAATGTAAGTATATATATTCATTTGCCGATGAATGATGATGAGGTTGAGTGAAAGGCAAGCTCAAGAATATATCGATTGCTTGCTCCCTTGAGCATTTTTTTGAGGTCATTTTGCACTTTGCACTTTGGTATCTCTATCGAGGTTGTTGAGTTTTATTGTACTATCTATATATTATTCTTTTTTTCTTTGTATGTGTTTCTTTTTTCTTATTTATATATTTAATTTTTAAAAATTTTAGCGTACATGTGTTTCTTTTGTGAATGTGAGTATGTATATTCATTTGTCGACAAAAGATGAGGAAATGAAAAGCAAGCTTGAAAATATATTGATTGCTTGCTCGCTCGCTCGAGCATTCTTTAGAGATCTTTTTGCGCTTTGCACTTTAGTATTTCTATCGAATTTATCGAGTTTTATTATACTATCTATATGTTATTATTTTTTTTCATATGTGTTTTATTATTATTATTATTATTATTATTTATTAAAATTTTAACATACGTGTGTTTTTTTCTGTGAATGTGAATATATATATATATATGAACTCATAAGTAATTATAGAGTTGAAAAAATAAATTTATTAGAAAATAAAAACAGAATTTGTAAAGAGGAATAATAAATGGACAATTTTTTCAAAAAATAATTTAAAAAGAATTATATACATATCTAATTATGGCTTGAATCTACAGCCCTTTTCCAATTAAATCCTACCTAGGAAGTGTGTTTAATTCTAAATTATGCATTAGACATAGTGTATACAATTAATATTTTTAAATGTAATGTGTAGCAAGTATGAAACTATAACTTTTATCCCAAAAAAAAAAAAGAAAAATTGGGCCCCAAGTTGCTATGCAAGGAGGTTAGAAGCAGAGAGTAAGAGCATCAAGAGAGGGAAAGTAATTGGTGTTTGAGAGCATTGAGAGTCTGGGAGCTGTTTCTGGTTTTCTTTCTGTCATTCAACTCTAGCCATGGATAAAGGTTTTTTTCACTATTTTTAATCATTTATTTTTTCCTGCTTTATTAATTAATTTCAGTTCTTCCTTTCCTTTTCAAAGTTCTTTCACCAAGTTTTTCTCATTCTAAATTTTCAAAAACCAAAAAAAAAAAATCATTTTCTCTACCATTTAAACAATCATAAATTTATTAATATTATACTCAATAATTCTATCACTTGTAATTATTCAACTAATTATATTACTATAAATCTATGTAATTAAAAAAATTAATGAAAAAGCACTATGTATAGTGAAAAAAAAAATTATACAGCTGGTATAAGTCAATGTTTTTCCTTTTGGCCAGGAGTATAAGTTGATGTTTACTCTATTAATGGATGACTTATAATGAGAAAATTCATAACTTCACACCATGTGTAGCTCTCTGACTTCTCTGTTTTCACTTTCTGATGCACGGCTGTTTCTGTATAATGCGCAGAAAAGATTATTTTTCTGGGTTAAGGAAACCAAGTGATTTGACTGAAAGGCAGCTCTAGCTGTTTTATTAGGATACCAAGAAATCATCAATGTCCTAATGTTGGTACGTGAATGAATTTGTTACTTTTGAGTGATTCTTCAAGATATTTTCCTGCACAATCTGCATGTACTTGAGCCACACTTCAATACATCCCATGATATTTTGATTGCCTCGATAAAAAGTTGTGATCTTGATTATGCAATCAATTTTGTGCTTTTCTAGGTTTGATGAGATCTCTGATTGTTAGTGCCGAAAATTCATTGTGAAGTTGTTTTTATGCAGGGGTTTCCTCAGTTAGCCATACAAACAGAGATTGATCCAAGCTGCAGGCTGCTTCCTATGAGTATACAAGCCAATATATGCTTCCCAGGATGAGCTGTATGTTCAAACTTTCTGATTCATAGATCCTGGAAGTGAAGCTACAGGCTTACTGCAATGTCATATTGTGAAGGAGATTAGTGCTTTGGAAGTGAAGATCTTGCCCTTTGTAAAGTCTGATGGAATTGCAAAACTCCAAATCTTGAAGTATCAGAACTTTCCCTTGTGTTTTCAAGACTCTGAAAGTTTGCTGAATGTATTGTTTAGTTTAAGCTTTTGAGTGTATATATAAGAATTATAGTTTAAGTCCAGTTTCCTGCTTCTGAAAATTTGTTATTCCGGGCTTGGAAAACTGCTCTTCATTGTTTGCAGATACAAAGTTTTCCTGATCTTCCAAGTCCTCCTACTTTTCTTTTTTAACCGGTAATTCTCTTTTCAAGCGACACCCGCTCTCTGTGCCTGCAAATAGTGAAGAATGGTGAAAAACCCAAAAAGGTCGAAATCATTCTTATTCAGCCTTCTATGTCTGACATGTGAGCAGCATGTTGTTCAAAGAGCACTGCAAAATCCTTATAGAAAAGTGTACTTATCCATCTCTAGCAGTCTTAATACTATTATTCCACTCCTTTTTCTTCAAAAGAAAATCATTTTAGAAAGAAGAGATGATGTTTTCACGCCATGGAAACGGCGGGTGAAAAAGTAGGAGCAGTTTCCAGCTAGACAGGTCGCCTGTGGGACAGCTAAAGCATAGACATTGGGCAGCAAACGCCGCTTGCCACTCGAAAGCCACCTAACCAATGGAAACCAACCTCCGGGCTGTGGTGCTCAATTCTTAAATAAACCATTTGGCCAAGTTTTAGGCTATGATCCCCGTCAACTGAACAGCTCTAAACTCCACTTGCCAGCTGCCTCTTTCTTGTCCTCTTCCACATGGAGTCTCTCGAGTGTCTTTTTCTTTCTCTTCGTAGTAAATAGTACTAACAATAGTAAAATATTTGTAGTAGTTTTCGACATTAAAAAGATTGTTTTTTTTTTAAGAAAAAGAAAAGACACAGAATCCCAACAGACAAAACCCATTACGCAAAGCAAACTAAAACAAAGCAAAGCCTAACCGAAAGCCCCCACTCTTATCAGCTTCTCTCGGTCTCTCTCCTCATCCTTAGCTGTAGAGAGAGAAACTGTAACATCATTTGAGTTTGCAATAAATAACTCTGGGTCTCAGCTGACTTGAAATTTTTTTTTGTCTACAAACGAAGCTAAGATCGGAGTACCCTTTGGTCTGAATTAGAGTTTTCCATAGGTGGGAAAAACAACATGGTTGGTATTTTTTCCAGATTTTCTGTTGGCAGGGCCGGTCATCGACGTTCCCAGAGTGCTCTTGTAAGAACTCTTCTTCTGTTTCTTTTATTTAGTAATTTTTCTAGAGGTTTGTTTTAATGGAATCTGGAACATGTGAATCTAAGGAAACCTTTCTTTTTTGTATATTTTGTTGGGTCTTTGTTTTTTTTTTTTGGATTAGTTAATTGGGTATTCTTTATTTGGATTGACCTGTTTATACGGCCTAATTTGCATTTTTCTTTTTAATTTCTTGTTTCCTATGCTTTGATTTGGGCCAAACATTGGTCTTTAGAAGTTAGATGTTAAGCATATTCTTGGTTATGTTGGAATTGGTTGATGTACTTTGAGATATCATGCCTTCATTTTGTGATCTGACTATTTCTTGTGATACTTGTTACGACTTCAGTAATATGGTTTTAACTTTGACCTTTTTCTTTTCAAATAGGTTTAATTTTGGGATTTCTTGATAGAATTCTGTCATCATGTGCCATTGTGTACTTGATTTGATTACTACAAGAGATATGAGCTACACCCAGATGTCATGATCAGTAATCTGTTTTATGGTGATATATATAATTATAGATGCCTAGTATAGATGCTTTTGGGTTGTTGGGCTCTTTGGATATTCAAAGACCTATTAGACTGAGTTCTGCTATTGTTGCAGGAATTTATCTTTCTTGAATTTCTTTTTTTTTGCTCAATATAATTATGTTGAAAGCTTGTTTTCCCTTTTATGCATCCAGCTCCTGAGTCCTGTCATTCGCTTTAAGTGCTTTTGCACTTCTAATCGGAGTTGTTAGCTTCTTGTTGCAAATGACTAATGAGCTGCCATTTGTGGTGCAGGAAGAAAGGGAAGTTATGCCCCCAAATCCGGATATTGCAGCTTCAGCTACGGCTGCTACTGCTACTACTCATGGGATTGAAGTAGCAGTTGAGTTTAAGCCAGTCGAACATCCGATTGAGCCTTTGGACAATGACCAACCAATTCAATGCCCACTACCTGAACCTTCAATTCTAAATGTAAGCTTTTGAGACTTGTTTTTTGTTTCTATGTTCTTAACCAAGTTCTTTACCGCAGATTGCACTAACTTAGAAAATAAAGTTATGAGACAATTAAGACTTTATGCTCAATTCATTAAAATATAGCTTGAGTAGTGAGTATCTATTCGCCCAACTGCTGTTGATGGTGGTATAAGGAAAATGGTTCTTTGGGACTGCATCTTAATGATAGGTCCAACTATTATATAGTCTTATGATAAAAGAAACCTTATTTAAGTTTTTGAGGTTCATACCATTCACAGGTTTTTATTTTCTGGTATGCATGGTTGTATATGATGAAATGATCATGCAGGTTCTCAAAGCTAGTGACAGTTGACATCTTCATTCATTTTTCGTAGTGGTGGTCTGGAATTGTACAAACCATCTCTTATGAACTTGTTTAATTGTCAGGAAGTTAAAATTCATATACTTTGTATTTCTTCTGTCATCAGGATGGAAGAATCTGGAAGGAGCGTGTATCAGCTGGCGTAATAAGGAGAGGTGACTTGCCAGTTATGAAGGATGGAGACAGCCTTGAATCTGAAGCAACTGGAACAAAACCCCAGCCAACTCATTCTAATCGGCTGATTTTGCCTTCTCTGAGTGCCCCAGAACATAATTTATTAAACCTTCTTGAAGAATGTAATGCATCTGGGATCTGAAGCCTGATACCAAATCTTGGTTAGAGTTCAACTCGGAATAATTTGCATATATAAGTTCAAAGTGTATTTATTTTTTGGCACCTATTTGGTTGAATATATAGATCATGGAAAGGTTACCCTCACACCTGTACATCTAATAAATGGCATCAAAGCTTCAGTCCACTAACCCTGCTGACCTATTACTCTTCTCCATATTTGTTCTTGGATGAAATCACCACCATTTGTATTTATTTTACTAGTTTTAACACCTTTCCTGTTGGCTTTTTCGCATAGGAACTGACTGCAAGTGTAGTAGCCAATTATTTGGATTGGGTAGTCTTTTGTTTCCACTTTCCTAATCCAGTTATAGGCTTGAAGGAAAGGAGATTGTCATGAGTTTGCTAGGCACTATGGCATCTGTTATTGCACTTTGCAATGGATGAGCATGCTTGCCAACTGCCTTTTTGGGGTTCCTGAGAAATTTGCTTAGATATAGATATGTTGTAAGAATTTCAAATGCCAACGGTTGCAATTCAATAAATAGCTCGTCAATTTGAGGAATCGTTAGTTCAGAAGACAGATCAGCAAATTGCCAAGTCAAGACGATCAAACTTCCTTGGAACTCTGTATGTCAGACCTATGGCTTCCATAACTTCAGCCATACAGTTTAGCCATGTGTGGTATCCCCTTTCTCTCTCTCTCTCTCTCACTCATTTATGTATTTGCTTTATTAAAGCCGATGAAGTCAATTTCTTCAACCCCCTCTTTGCCTTTTCCTTTTCTTGACATAGTCAGCAAGGAATCGGATGAGGGCTTTTTTACCTGATGAGTATCGTACTTTGAGTTCCTAGCAAGCCATTCTATGGTTTTGCACACCAGAAGAGTGGGGAAGCTTATGCACTTTTTCGTCGTTTGCTGAATTTACAAGCGTTGCTTTTCCATAACTTACCACCCACCACCAACCACCAATCACCAATCCAAAGGGAAAAAAATAAAGAGAAAAATATCAGATATTCCCATATTCATTCATCTCTGAACAAGTAACAGCTGGGTCCTTCCTTTGAATTTAACAAACCTGAATGGGAAATATTCAGAGCTTAAGTGGTAAAACTCGGAAACATCAAAGAAAAACAGCTATAATAATGGCATAAGGCAACCTGGAAACTTGTAATTCTACCATAGTACAAAAGGGAAAAACATAAGCAGATAAAACAGTCATTATGATAAACAATTCACATGAATCTATACAGGTAACTTGGGAAGCCGGAGTGGGTGCTCAACAGCAGGGTTGAGAAGGTGTTTCCGAGGGCCACGAAAGCTTCCATGGTTCATCCTCTGCTTCCTTTGCTGATGTGATTCTGCAGCACCAACAACTCCAGTGGCAGCAGCAGCAGCGGCTGGATGGATCGTTGTCAGGGAGGCAAATACCAGGAGGAAAAGAAGAAAGGCCTTGATGCTCACCATTGCGTTTTCAGCTTCCCACATTCTGGTATGAGGAGTGGGTGAGGAGGGGCTTATAAAGAAAACCCAAAGGCATAATAACTAATAACTTTGCTTTGGGTGGAAGTCACAGGGAAATAATTCCAACTTTCCACTTCCACCACACCCTATATTGATTGCTGGACCTAAATATGGTTCGGGTTTCATGTGTGCCGGTGGGATGGGTTATTGTCCAAATCTTTTTCCGAATATTGGCAACTAATTGATAAAGTACGGATAAAGGTTGCTTTGAGAAACGAATATAATGATTGGCAAAGCCTAAGCGTGCTTCCTCCATCCTTCCTCATTTAATCTCCAACATGGCGGGCAATCAAGGCCACCACATGAAAGGCTTGGCAAGCTCACTGTGACTCTTTCCTCCTTATATACGGGAAGAGATCATAACTTGTGTTATCCTTCTTCAGATCTCTCGTCTTTTCTTTAGCATTTTCTTGTAAGAAGGATGATTTTCCCGTGACTACAGTTATGACTATGCTCTATACTTGTCATTCTCGGTAGGCCACTGTCACCTTGAGGGCTGTCGAAAAGGTCATAATTATTAGTTTGGTTTAAGTATAATATTTTAAAATTTTTTTAAATTATTTTTATTTTTCTCATTTAATTAATTTTTTATATTTTTATTTTGAATTAAATAAGTTTTTATTATTAATAATTAATTAATTATAATTAATCAAATACTACTTATCATTTTATATTTGTATGACGTTAATGAAGAGCATAAAAATACCACATAACAATAAGTTATTATGTTACATCAACATATCATATCATCATTTATTATGATATATTAATATATTACATCAACATTATATGTAATAAATTGATAAATAATCATCTATTATGGTATGTTAACATATTACATAGCATCACATACAATAAAATAGTAAATGATATTTTGATTAATAATAATTAATCAACTATTAGACGTAAGAGATTTGATTAAACATAATAAAAGAATAAATATTTATTTTAATTTTTTTGAATAATTTAGAAAGTTTATTATGCCTTTGGTTCATTATTAAATTTGGACATTCAACCCAAGAGTATTCAATTTGGGCTTTTTAGAGTAGGCCCAAATCTATAAATTCAAATAATTTGGACTAAATATTGGTTGGACCTTTTTGGGCTTACTCGAGAAAGGCCTAAATAGCAAAATCATATAGTTTGGACTAAATCGTGGGTCTCAAATCAAGATATTTATTTTAAAGGTAGGCACGATACGTGCAACTATAAGGAAACCCGAAAAAGGCCACTACGACCCGGCCCATTTGATGTTTAAAAGCGCTACATACCACAACACAACATAACAACCCGACCCGGAAGATAAGTCCTCTTTTTCTCGGGTTTCGTTATTCTTTTCTTTCAGCTCAAGACACAGAGAAAACAAAAGCTTTTTTTTATTTTCATTTCCATAATTCTAATATATATAAATAGAGAGAAACTACTTACGCTTCAGCTTCTATTTCGTTGTGTTCGACTCCGTGCTGGTGAAATCGGGATCGATGGCGGCCTTGCAATACCTAGAGACTCTTCGAAATGAGCACCCAGAGCTAGCCGACTGGTACAATTCTCTGGCAGATCTGTATCAGAAGAAGCTCTGGCACCAGCTCACTCTCAAGCTTGAGCAGTTCGTCGCTCTCACCGTCTTTCAGGTCTCCCTCTCTCTTTCTCTCTTTAGCAGTCTTGTGTCGGTTTGTTCGGCTTTAGGGTTTGTAGATCTCCAGATTAGGGTTTAAGATTTTGGGAGCTGGGGTTTTTGAGTGGAGTTGATTACTTTCTTTTCCTTTTTTTATCTTTAATTGAGGGGTTAGGGTTTTGTTGTAGAATTGGGGTTTTATTTTGGGATCTTGTTAGGGTGTTTAGTTCTGCTCTACCGTTTTCGTTTTTAACTTTTTATTTAGTTTTAAATTGAAAAGAAAAAAATGTTTTTCTCTTTGATGTTCAATAACTCAAAGATGATTAAAGAAAGTAGTTACAGACTTACAGTTGGGTTTTGCCTTTATTTTTTTTAAATTGTAATGTTCTTGGGCATAAAAGAGAGTTATGAACGGGGCAATTGTTGTTACCTTGTAAAATTTTTGCTAGTAAATCTTCTCGTTTGCATGAGCTGTAGTGAAGGGTGGAAGTTAGCTCAAGCATATGAATTGTGAAACATTAGCTTTGAAAGCTTTGCACTTTTATTTTAGGAAAAGATTCTTTTCATAATTGTAGAATGGAAAGTGTTAGGAGCAAGCTATCTATGTTACTTTCTTTTTTTCCTCTTGTTTTTGTACGGTACAAGTGGAAGGTCCAATCGTGTTTGCTTATTGTTCTTTTAGGTCATTCAGTGTATCTTGTTTGGATAATAATTACTCTGGAGTGGGCTAGGTCATCTAACTTCGTATAATATTTGTTTGTCTTAAATATCAGGCTGGAGATGCACTGATACAGTTGTATCATAATTTTATCACCGACTTTGAGACCAAGATTAATCTTCTCAAGCTTGCGCATTTTGCTGTCATAGTTTCTCGGCAGTACGCAGAGAAAGAAGCTGCTATTTGTTATCTTGAAGGGGTGATCGAAAAGCTTCAGGCTACTAGAGAGCAGCGCATAGAAGAGCCAATTCTCTATATTAAGATGCAAATTGCCAAATTCAAGCTCGAGCAGGGTGACCAAAAGGAGTGCAAGAAACTTCTTGAAGATGGAAAGAGTACTCTCGACAGTATGACTGACATTGATCCATCTGTATATGCTAGCTATTATTGGGTTTCATCTCAATATTATAAATTTCGCCAAGAATTTGCCGAATTCTACAAAAGTGCTCTCCTTTATCTTGCTTACACGTCAGTGGAGTCTCTCTCAGAATCTTTTAAGCTGGTATGTCTTCATACTTTATAGCTTTATATGTTTCTCACCAGTACAATTTTACTGGCTTGTGATATTACTGGAGCTCATTAATTTACTCATTTATCAAGCTTTGATGTTGCAAACTTCTTGTTGTTTAGAGTACCCTCTAGAAATCATTGCTTTCTGTAGTAATTGTTTTATCCACTGATTCTTGTGCAGCAGTGCCTCTGAAGTCTAGACTCAAGTCTTTCTAGTTTGAACCTTTCCCTTCATGCTACATCCCTTCTCTTATGTCCAGTATCTAAAATTTTATCATAACCTGGATGAACTGAGTTGGCAGGTATATGTTTGAAAATAGAGCCTGCATAAAAAATAGCATACCTATAAAGCTGATTACGAATCGAGCTGGTAGGTATACGCTTGACAATAAAACCTGCATAAAAATGGCATATCTATAAAGCTGATCGTGAGATGGTGATATGCATATGTATTTTTTTTTCCGGCTGAAGGCTTAGGTTGGACTTTCCTTAGACCCTAGCCATAAAAAATGGATGGATAAATAAATAAATTAAAGAAAGTTTGATGGAAATGTAGAGTATCATGGCACTTATAGTTTATTTTATCATATTCTTCTTACTTTTTTAAAAGCAAGTGCTCCAATTTTAGATTTAAAAGGTTTCGTTGAAAATAATTAGCAGCTTTGGATGGAATCAATGTGAAGTTTTAGTTGCTATTTGATATAATTCAGAAGGTCATACCATTTGCCTTCAGTGGTTGAGTATGTTGTGTTCCTTTTAACAGACATCCAATGTGTACTGCCCATTTTCTAGTTGTTCCTCACAAGCATTGAGGAATAGAGAGTTACCTGGTATTATACCAGACATAGCCAATTGCTTCTTGCAAGCTCAAGCTTTCTCTTAAGGAAGATCATTGCATATATAATGATTTTTTATGACCATAGCAAACATAGCAAGTTATTTTTATTACTTCATAGAAAATGAATTTGTGTATATATATGTATGTGTGTATGTATTTATGTAAGTATTGTTTAGCTTATAATTAGTCAGTAGATATGTTTATCTTTGACTTCATTTCATCTTATTTTAATCTGTTTCCTTGTATAGGATCTGGCATTTGATCTATCGCTTTCTGCTCTTTTGGGAGATAAAATCTACAACTTTGGAGAACTGCTTGCTCATCCTATTGTAAGAACAACTTACTCAAGCTACTTAACTTCACTATATATTGCATCTGAATTTTTTCCCAGGCAAAGGAGTTTCATGTAACCACAGTTGTTTTCCCTCCTCTTTAATTCACATGATATTCATGTTTATTGTTTCCTTTTCTAACGAGTTAAGCATGTGTAAGTTAACTCTTAATGGCTGATACTGCAATTTGTCTGATATAATGCCATCAATGGTTCATTAAGAGGCTTATTTCTGGTTTTTCATTTAAAATCTGATATTAGTTTTAATCTAGTTTGGACTGTTTAATCAAGCTTTCATTAGATGAAGAATGTAGATGATCATCATGTCAATAGAAAGCTCTTCAAAACGTTGGTGGAGTTTTTCAATATAGTGTTTGATTAAGAAAATGAGACATTTATGATGTTCTGATGAGATGTATGTGGAGGTTCAAGGGTGGCTAAGTAGTGATGGAAAAGGTCCACCTGATAAGAGGTTCTCTCCATTTTGTGTTTCCTTTTATGCTATTTCAGTTCCATGCATATTTTTCATTGTGGATGTTGTTAGAGGTGATGTGAAAGGCCACTCTAGTGTTATAGGTTTTGTTCCTTCTGAATTTTTTTGCATTACTGTGTTTACCTTTGTCATGTTTGAGATGTTGACGTCCTTGGCATCTTTTACAGATAAAGAGTCTTCTGGGGACCAAAGTTGAGTGGCTTTACTATATCCTCCAGGCCTTCAACTCAGGGGATTTAGTTCGCTATCAAGAATTGTGTCGTGTGCACAATGCTGCATTGAGGGCTCAACCAGCCTTGGTTGAGAATGAGAAGAAGCTATTGGAAAAAATAAATATTCTATGCTTAATGGAGATTATCTTCAGGTGTGTCTGTTTGCAAGTGTCTTCCAATGGACCAGGTCATAGTAAGTTGCTGATATCTGTATGTATAGTTAAAAGCTAAACTCCTCTATGTTTTCCTGTAGCCGCCCATCCGAAGATCGAACTATTCCATTAAAAGTTATTGCTGAGCGAACAAAACTGTCGATTGAGGATGTTGAGCATCTTCTCATGAAGAGCCTATCTGTAAGTTAAAACATTCATCAGATTTGTTCAGTCTTCTGTTTTTACACATTTCCTTTTCCTTTTTCATTAAGTTCTTCTTCGTGACGCCTTGATAGGAAATAAGGGTCGTAGAATTCTTTCTTAATCGCCAAACTTTTGGATGTAAACTGAGGGGAATACAAATTATTAGGGGACACAAATAAAAGAGAATAAAACAATTTTCAGGACTTGAAATTATGGAAGAAAAGATTATGGTAAACTTGTAGAAGTCCACTCTGTCCATTTCTTTTCATATGGGCTTTGCATCATTATATAAATTTGATTGTTTAGAAAGATAGAAATCCGAAAGGTAACTTGTATAACCTTTATGAGAACTTCGCTACAGGTTCATCTGATTGAGGGCATAATTGACCAAGTTGAGGGAACAGTTCATGTCTCCTGGGTGCAGCCGAGAGTTTTGGGAATACCACAGATCAAATCCTTGCGTGACCGGTTGGATAATTGGGTGGGCAAAGTACACACTGCTTGGTTATCGATTGAGGCTGAAACACCTGATCTTGTTGCATCATGATTTTTTTCCCCAGTTCCTTTTGTGCCCATTGTAACAATTTCGTAATTTGAAGAAAGAACAAAAAGGGAAAGGCAATTTGTGAGCAATGAGGATGGAGACTAGTGTAAGTCGTGTGGACAGTGGAGCCAACTTTGTATGCTCCCTTTAAAGATATTACTAGATCCTTTTCTTAAATCATTCGTCTCAAAGGAGCGGCTCATGTACTTTTCAGTTTTCAGCATTTGTTGGATCTACAATGGCACTGGCATTGCCTAAGGATACGGTCAGAATTGAAAACAGCATCCTTTTCTTTTTTAAGGTGGTTCTTTCAACTTTTGTATTGGGATTTTTCGTTAGATACAATCAGATATGATCCACTTTAATGTGGATTAAAGTTAAGTTTCATTTCAGATTCATCTTTTTATTCATAAACTATGTTGTTTGGCTTGCATGTGCATGCCAAATTTGCATTGAGCTCAAGTTGTTCCCCTTCTGACTCATCAGCTTCTGTAAAAGAAGGGCGTTGAATGCCCATTTCATCTGCGAATAGCATAATAACGCAGGTGATTTGGATGGCACATGCAAAGGCATTCCTTAATGAAACGCATCTGCTATTGGCTTCTGGCTTATATTATGTCGCATCTGAGAAAGTGCAGATACACCCATCAAAATCTCACCTTGAGGCAAGACTACCGCAGTCTGGGAAGCGAGCTGATAAACCATGCATGAAAAAGAATCAACCTGAAACACCTTCGCCGATATCATTAAATTGATATTGTAGAAAAAAATATTACAAACCGCTATCCTTATTAGATAGAGCATAGAGGCAAGCGCTTGTGGCTTCTTCAACTTACTTTATATATGGAAAAATACAAATAAATTCCACATGCAACATCATTCTTGCCTCACGAATGGCGAGGAGCTGATGTCTGTGCTGTAAAATGAGTCTTCTCCTCCATAGTAGTTTTCATCTTTCTCCTCTTCCCACTTGAGAACCTCCCGTATATACTTAAATGCTTCATCGATGGTCACCCGGTGGTCCCTTGCCCTAGCTTGCCACACAAAAAGTTTCTGTCCGGTAAGGGAAGCATAAAGATCCTTGAACTTCACTGCAATGTAGAAGTAAGCCTGCTGAGCCAGGGACTGATGGTTGTGGAGAGGCCTTACTGGACTGAAATCATTGAACCACTCGCAAGTGCTTAAGGGCACCCGATTCACTTTGTCCTCAAAGAGATCATACTTGTTTAGTATCAACACAAAAGGGGTCTCCTTGAAGCAAGGGTGCCTTATCATTGTTTCAAATAGCTCTTTGGTCTGCATCATCTTATTTTGAAGTAGTGCTCCACTGCCACTACTCTCTGGAGCTATCCACATCTGATCATAATCACTAAGTGCCACACAGAAGACTACCACGCGGACATCTTCGAACATTTCCACCCACTTGCACCCCTCATTCATCCCCTTTGCATTTACCCTTATAAGTTGATACCTGTAAATAGCAAAAATGCAAAAGTAGCTTAGAGATTCAAGATCTCATACGCTTTGGGGTTGAAATATGTAAGAGTATGAATATTAGGAAAAAGCACGTAGCCTATTCACCAAGAACAGAATAGTAGATAGCCACATGATACCAAAACAAATCTGATATTCTTTCATACACGACAATAACAGAATGACAGGAGAGAATTACTTGGTCAAGGGCTGGGAGGGAGCTTCCAAATTGTCTGTGTAAGTTTCGGACATTGGACTACGATCATCGAGTGAAAACTCTATGAAAGCCAAACCATTCCCTTGGGTGACCCCTTCAGCATAAAGAATGTCACGATCAGCAGGTTCATATTCATTGCTTGACACCTCAACAGCCTGAAGGAAACAAATGCATATCACATAAGTCACAGATATTGCTGTGGAATTGAGTTCACTTGTTTCGGAATCTTCTTCGAGTTGAATAACTAGAAATATCAAATGACACTAGTAAAATTTAGCAACAACGAAACCAATATATCCAACATAAAATGTCAAACATGGGCCACAAAGTCAACAAAAAATAAGATGACATACCCTGCTTAAGAAATACTCTGCAACATCTGGAAGAAAGTGAAGCTCATCTTTTCTTTTATATGTTTGCTGTATAGCAGGATCTTTCCACAACTCCTCAACTAATGGAGCATACTCACGTGTTGCTGCAGGGAAAAATGCATCCAAATCCCCAGTGGCTATAATGTCCAGCAGCCAGTCAGAAAAATGCTTTAGCCTTGGGTTGATAGAATAGACACAGTGGTTAATTTCACCAGAGTCGACCTCTCCATCTGAACCAAGATTAAGGTATCATTTAGATGTTGAAAAAGTAGCAATGATGTTAAATAATTCTTTTTGTTCTTGGCCACCGTGAGAGACCTTTGAAGTATCATCATGTACTAAACTTCTATAAAGCACATGTCAAAAACATTTTCCCCCTTCCCTCTCTGCTACTTAAAAAACAGAACAAAGCAGACTGCACATCAAAGACTATAGGGCATAAAATGTCTATTTGGAAGTAACAAGTTCTACTTAAGCTCAAGACTATGTATAAAATCAGAAAAAGTTTTGATGTTGGCAAACATTACTTGCTTCACAGTGCTGATTATCAGAACCTAGTTCCCGTATTCGACACATAGCTTCCTCCTCAAACCGCTCCCGCCCATCCAGTAATATGCTAAGATATCTGTACATATTGCTCTGGATCATCAACTTGATATCCTGCAGTTCATCTGCAGAAAACCCATTTCCATACAAAAATTTTGCCTGTGCAATAATGCATAGCGAACATTAGAGAAATGGCATCAACTGGAAGGAAAGACAGTAACAACTACTTCTGTATGCTCAATTTGGCAAATGACATAGTTCTCTAGAAGATGCTAGTAACTGGATTTTATCAGTTAAGAACAATGGAGAATTTTCCCAAGGCTTAATCATCCACACACCATAAGACCAATTGTTCCTAAACCAAGAAAGCAAGAAGGAAAAAGGAAATTCATATCCCACCAAACAGTCAGCCCATGCCATGGAAAAACATTGTTGAACTATATGCCAAACCACAATTCTAAACCATAGACTGCACATCCTTAGATATTCCACATCAACTAACGGATTGGGATGACAGACATTCTTCATGTTCATGCAAGATATACATGCCAACTTCCGTCTAGACAATAAATTTCAGAAGTGATGCTAATTGTATTTTCCATGCATCTTAAACTTAATTGGAGTAGCATCATGCAGCATACTTTTTGGAATAAAATAGTTAATTAGCAACAAATAGAAGGCCAAACCTGTTTGAATATGGTGCTGGTTCCAGAGCCCTGAAGCCCAAGTAGAAGAAGCTTCTGGATTTTTTTCTGCTCAAGGTAATTTGGAACAGTAGTATAATTGCTAGCCTCCTCTCTTAGTCCTTGAGGTTGACCATGGGGCACAGGCAAAGAGAACAAGGTACAGACAAAACGAGTTGATGCCTGTCTAGCAAAATCCATATCCAAATCATATCACATAGAATACTCATGACACAGTTTAGCTTGTTGGAAGTTTACATACCTTCTCCCAGATGTTTCCTCTAATGTTATTTTGACCTTCTTCCTCATACCGCCCATCATCATAGACCCAAAAATGAGTGTCACGTGGACACTGCACATTTGCCAACTGAAAATAATGAAGGGATACATCAATAATTAGTTAAAATAAAATGAAGAAATGCCTTTGATACAACTTTTTATTCCCATTCACAATTTATCAGATGCTGATGCTAAGCATATACTAAGATGTCAAAAAGAAAATGCATAATACAGAAGAGTGAGACATTTTAGTGTTTCTTAAAAAGAATCTGTTACTTCTAAATGGTTATGATAAAGAACCAACAAGGGAAATTAATGATTTTACAGATTCAAGTTACTTGGATAATAGCTTTTTTATATTACCTTTAGCACCCTCAATTCAAGTTTCGTAATTTCCCGGCCATTCATATAGACTTCAGTATTGCCATTGCTCGCATCAGGCATAAGCTTCCCAGTGAAATTTAAGTTTGAACTAATAATCCTATCTGGTTTTTCTCCTTCCTGCAAATCAATAAGAAGAGGTGATCAAATCAAGTCCCCACCTTCTGGATGTTTACCGTTCTTATTTGTTCAATTACAGAAGGCCAAGTGAAATATAAAATACCATATCACAAATACGAACTTACCTTTCCCCAGAGACCAGATTCCTTGTCATACCAATATCTGCCAGGCTTCAACTTCCTAGGAGGTAAAGGGCATCCAAGTAATTCTGCCATCTCTTCTGGCTTTAATGGAAATCCATTCACAATTAGCTGCTCTGGTCGGAGCTGATTAGCAGAACATTCTTTCTCCGCTTTCATGATCTGTTTTACCTCCAAAGGACTGAGTAATCGGGACAAGAGCCTGGAATGTTTACCGAGTCTGAACCGCTTTGATTCATCAATTGGCTGGCGAATGCATGTCACACATTTCCGTCCTTCAGGCATTGAGCCCATTGCCCTAAGCACACAATTGCTGCAATACTTAGCGTCACAAACCAGGCATGATTCCTTGGTTTCCCATTTTCTCTTACCACAACGATAACAAACTCTTCTTTTCTTCTTCTTTTCTTTTGAAACCCCAACATATTCAGGAAAAACTGGCTTCTCCAAATCCACCTCTTTCCTCTCTGACCTTTCAACTGTATTAAATGTTACAACTGGCACTCTCTTCACTTCATTAACTTGTTTGGGAGGATTACTCTGAGGATTGCGAACTGAACCAGGAGAAGCTGAAGGAGAAGCTGAAGAAAAATCAGGGTTCTGCAACACAGACACAACAGACTCAGAGCTTGCTGAAACCCTTGGACTCTGAGTAGGCGGACTTGTGACACCAGCAATATAAGACACTGGTAAGAGGATCGGTTCAATCACTGGGGGACCAGCATTAGCAACTGACCTTTGAGACTCCGATAGTGGTTCAGCAGTAGGGATAGCACGTGAATTTACATCAAGAGGCTCAACTCTGGGTACTTCATAGGCAACTGGAGGACCCTTATACTCCATTGCTATAGAGTAATCAAGCTCTGATGAATCTTCAGGGAGAGAGGCACCTGGTGGAAGCATCTTTCTGACTAATTCTTTCCAACTCTCACCTTCCTTCCGCTCCATTTCTTCCAATATAAAACCAAAGTGTTATATGCCGGGCTAGAGTCTCAAACTACAATTTCTCAAGCATTAGCCATATTGATCCAACTATGCTCTTTAACATACAGATATTTGCTTGGACATCCTCATAGCTTCTGACAGAATAACAAGAGAAGATAACTTGCAACTCAAATTACCTGGAAAGCAATCACCAGAACAGTGAATTCTTGGGGCCCTTTTGTGATGCTTACTTGAAATGAAACTAGAAATAGCCACCTAGCAACCATAATTCAACATATAAATTGTCAACCTATGAAAGCCTTCAAGTTTGAAAGGATAAATTGGAAAAGATCAATCATTTGACCGGAATTAAATGATGCAAAAGCAAATTCACCGCATATGTTGGCATTTTTTTAAAATTTCAATTGACCTACATATAGCTGAAAGCCTGAAACACTTACTCTCCTGGTAAGCATCTAACTAAACCAATTGGCTGTCAGATACGAAAAATTAAAATCGAAACTAAAGGGTTCCACCTTCTAAGTCCAAGAGAAGACCTTTAACAACAATATAGTAAAGCCATACAATATTGTTAAACAATAGTCAAATAACACAGATTCATGTTAAAAATATAGGACATTTTTAACTAAAAGAGAGCAAAGAGAGAGAGAGAGAAGTAAGATTGAATTCATTCATAGTCAAACAATAGACATTTCAAGCTGAATGTGAACTAAAATTAAATATTTAAGAGCCTTGCAAGTCTTTTCAGCTAAAAATAGCAAAATAAAATAAAATTAGAACAACAAAATTGAATCAGTCCACAGTCAAAAACTTTAGCAGTCATATATGAGCTAGTGAAGCTTCAAGACACAGGAAAAGCCACTCATACTTGTCCAAACATTGAAAAACCAGGGTCAAACAAATATACTAGTATACCAGACCCAGAAAAAAAAATGAAAAAAGCCCTAGGAGCTGAAAAACCAAGGCTTGTTCAAGCACAGCAAAAAGGGATCAAAACAAAAAGAATATGATAAAATACCCTTTTTTGAGCTCATCTTGCCACTTTCTAAAGTGATTGGAGATAAAAGCAAAGAGTAGAAAGAAAATGGGAAAGTCAAGAGAGAAAAGATACCTGAAAGAAGAGGACAAAAACTGAAAGTAAATCTCAGAGAGAAAGAAGGCCGGCTTCAAAAATCTATAAGTAAGAAACTTAAAGAAGGAGAAGACAACTAGAAAAGCTCTTTGCTTTCTGAGCTTCTTTGAATTATTTCGTTTCTGTGCTTTGAAGAACTCAAAGAACAGAAATCCCAGACGGAAAATTTACTAAACCTTTAAAAGCCCCTCTGCACAAAAAAAGGAAAGCCATTTGTGGAGAGAGAAAGAAATAGATAGATGTAGAGAGAGAGACTATGATGATACGGTGAAAACTACAGATAGAGAGAGAGGGAAATGTGGGCCCGCTTTCATGTTTTTTTTTTTCTAGTTTATTTTCCTTACACAGTAGTAGATGTAGTTGCGGTGTCGTGAGCTCGTGTGGGGGGTGGTGTTCACGCTCAGATAGTTCGCGCGTTTGGTGGAAGTGATGTCGAACCACACGACCAAGATATTTGTTTAGCCGGAGGCTTGTTGCCTCACGCGCTTCTTTCGATGGTGGTAGATACTCCTCTATCTGTGTTGTTTGGGCGGTGGTGGAAATTGTGGTTCAGGTATGGGCCAGGGTAGGCCCGCGCTCGATCCTGACATGGCGTTGCTAATTTCATAATTTATAAATAAAATATTTAAAATTATATTTCATGCAATCAATTTTTACATGATGTGATCTTTTATATAATGACAAAAACATATAATAGTTAACCATATGAAAAAAAATAACTTTATATTTTATATCGCCCTATAATTCATACATATATTAAAATATTTAATTATTTGACTCGAATAATATATTTAAACTCTACTCAAAATAGAAAAAATTGAATCCTCTTTCTTTCAACCTAAAATATAAATAATAAAATAAAATATGTTATTTGACCTATTATTTTTTAAAAATAAATTAAATAAAATTATTTTATAATTCCCATTCTTTATATGTAAGTGTTTGTGCGCATCCATGTACATAAAAGTCACAATTATAGTAGTAAATATATTTGCATTTTTTTAGTCATATATTTTTATTTCTTATAAAAAACAAGATAAAATTTAACTTTTAATGTCTAAATTTTAACCTCTTTTTAATTTTAACGAACTCAATATAAAAGATATCATATTTGTCATATATATAAAGTCTAAAATTGCAACAACAAAAAAGAAAAAAAAGGTTGAAAGTACCTTGGATAATGCAAGTGAAGGAGGGAGCAGTAGCACAGTAGGACAATGTTTTATTTTCTGAAAGGTATGCCACTTTGAGTTTGACCATAAACAAATGGATAGCCCACTGGTCCCATAGGCAATCTATCATCCATAATAAATATTATTTTTTGTTCTTTAAATGTTTGTATCCTTTTAATTTTTATAAAATTATAAAATAAATTTTTTGATATTAATATATTTTATATTAAAATTTTCAGAAAATTTATAATATAAATATAAAAAATAGTAATATGATAGTACATACTTTCCCTTTTTTAAAAGGTGAAGAAAATTAATAATGTCAAATATGATAGCCCATGAATACAAAGTGGCAAAGGGGACATGAGAGAGGACAGTAATTAATGCGAATTGGGGACCATTGAATAAAAAATAAATTGTGATCTGAATTCCCTACAAACGAAGACAGTCAGGGTTCACTGGGGTGCTCCGCTTGTATTTTATCACTGGTTTGGGACCTTCTTCTGTCTTTACATCTGGTGATAACATGTCATTTCCTTGACCTTGGGTTTGGTCACCCTTTTCGCGTAGTCGATCTCATCAAACGCCGCCTTTTGATTTGCTTCAAGAAGAGGGCATTGTTTTGATAGTTTTATGTAATGAAAGCACCCAAGGCTCCAACCAGCCTAAATCTTTGACCTAAACCTAAACCTAAACCATTCTTTTCCGATTTGTTCTTTGCGGTATTTGAGTCACACAAGTTTGTTCTTCTTCTTCAAGTTCTTGGGGTTCGAGAATTCTAACAGCTTGATTAAAGTATTTAAACACTTTGATCCGTTATTGTTTCCTTATTTTTTTATACAATGGTTTTTAGCCTTGAATCACAGTCAGATGGTCGGGTTGGAGCCTCAGGTGGACAAACCTTATGGGGAGATCTACCACTGGCAAATATTTTGAGGATGGCCCCATTTGCTGCTGCTTCCTAGGATTCTTTTAGAGGATTATTCTCTCTTTATGTCCTAAGTATGAATATATATTCGACGATTTCGAGCCTTTAAAAAAAATATTTATATAATGTAAAATATCTTACAGGTCGTTGAAAAAAAATTTGTTTACCATTTCCACGGTCTATTGTAACACTGTCTAAGTATACAAATTTAGTGCTTTTAAAAATGAAATGCATCGTACTTTTACAGAGATGGTGAAACTAGGTATCAGTATGTTTCGACCCAGACCAAGGAATTGAAGCAATATGTACACATAAAGAAAAAGGTTGTACAATCATTGCTCTAGGTGAAAATAATAGTTCAATAGTGTCCACACCTTATTTCTGATTTGAAAATTTTAAATTCGACTCTTTTATTATGGAAACAATAAAAAGAAAACCAAAAAAAAGAGGAGGGGGTTCTAAGTCCTTGCAATGCAGGATGCTAATAATCATTTCCGCTACCTACTATGAGCACATGAACATGAATGCATGCAGAGAATTCAGAATGTAAAGGGTCCCAAAAAAAAATGGAGCGATCGATGTGGCTTAGCTCTTGGCCTCTTGCTATTATACGGTCAAGACTCGACCAATGCCCTCTCTTCAACAAACCAGGTATTCTAGACCGGTCACATTTGATGTGAACCATTCAGAATTGGATCAATCATTTTGAAGGCTCTAAGCCAGTTATCCTAGTGAACACCCAGACGTCAGCTAGGGCTGCCAAGGCCGCCAGCTGAGGTGCAAGCCATGGGCCAAGCCTTCAGGATCTTGACTCCTAGTGGTTAATGGGCTGAAAATCTTAGCCTAAATATGTATGGGATTTGAACACCAAACCCAATTTAAATTCCAGGCTTTTGGGTTCTCCTGGTCCAAGATTAACTAAGGCTAAAGTTTGGAAGTAATTTAGATCATCATCAAGCTCGTGTCTTTCATTTTTATTTTTTTAATTATTTGTATCATGCTTTCTAGATAAAGAAGTTACACATGAATCAAATTGGAATGTTTATGTTTTTCATTTTTACTTTTGCTGTCTTTTTAATTTTAACTCTTGAATACTATGCTCCTGCTGCTCTATGATCACCTCAATTCCCACACAAGATTGAGCTATTTATTTTGCACAAGTGTAGCAAGGCTTGGGCAGGGAAACATCCTCAAATTAACTGATTGTTCTTGCAGTGAAACATGCTAATATTTTATTGGTTGAGGTGATCATGGGGCAGGAGCACGTTCACAGGTTTATATGTTTTTTAACCTTCAGACGTGTGGCTGTGGTTTTACCGGGTCCATAGAGATGAGATGGCAAGATATGATAGGCCACTGAAACTCGAAGAAGGAATCTAATGAAGCCAAACTCTTCCCAAACATTATCCTATCCAGAATCTACGCGTCCGATAATCTGACCTGTACTTCCCTGGCTGGGATTCTCTTCTCAATCCCATGGATGACATTCAAACTCCTTTAACAAGCTCTTCTCACACTACTTCCAAAGCTGCTGCAAATTCATTCTCGTTTCACTTTTGTTCTGATTTCAGTCCAACTTCAAGCTGTGTTTCTCAAGTTGAGATCACTAAATACGATAATCTCAAATTCTGTCACTTTTGCCAACCTCCTTGCTAGCACCAAAGGTCATAAGTTTCACATTGTCATTTTCCCATCTCTTTTTTATCATCAATGTTGTTTTCTTCACTTTTGTTCTCTAATTTCTGCACCTCTTTTCCATGGAAATTTGATTGTTGTTGAAAAGAAGGTTATGGTTCTCGTATTATTCCATATGGCAGTTTAGATTGGTAAACCATGATGTAGATAACAGGATGCCTGGGACTTCAGTCCTTCAGCAAACCAAGTTCTTTTCACTACCTGTAGATCCGCCACAAAGCCCAGAGTTGAGTTTGAGGTTGAAGGAGCAGGAGTGCTTATCTATCCTGAAGAGGTGCAAGAACATGGAAGAATTCAGGCAAGCTCATGCCCAGATCGTCAAGTGGGGTTTCTTTTGGAACTCCTTTTGTGCAAGCAATCTACTGGCTGCGTGTGCCCTCTCAGATGGGGGTAGCATGGACTATGCCTGTTCCATTTTTCAACAAATTGATGAACCGGGTACTTTTGAATTCAATACCATGATTAGAGCTCATGTCAAAGACATGACCTTTGAGGAAGCTTTAGTTTTTTATTATGAGATGCTTGAAAAAGGAGTTGAGCCTGATAATTTCACTTATCCTGCTCTTTTCAAGGCATGTGCCTGGTTGCAGGCACAAGAAGAAGGAAAGCAAATTCATGGGCATGCATTTAAGCTTGGCCTTGAAAGCGATTTGTACGTACAGAACAGCTTGATCAATATGTATAGCAAATGTGGGGAGATAGAACATTCTTGTGCAATCTTTGAGCAAATGGATGAAAAGAGTGTTGCTTCTTGGAGTGCTATTATTGCAGCGCATGCTAGTTTTGGAAAATGGGACGAGTGCTTGATGATGTTTGGGAACATGAGTAGTGAGGGATGTTGGAGGCCTGAAGAAAGCACACTGGTTACTGTGCTCTCTGCTTGTACTTATTTGGGTGCTCTTGATTTGGGGAAGTGCGCACATGGGTCCTTGCTGAGGAACATTAGTGAACTCAATGTTATAGTACAGACATCCTTGATAGACATGTATGTCAAATGCGGGTGTTTACAGAAAGGTCTATCACTCTTTCGGAAAATGGGCAAGAGGAACCAAATGTCCTATACTGTAATGATTTCAGGACTTGCCATGCATGGACATGGTGAGGAAGCTCTAAGGATATACTCAGAGATGCTCAAAGATAGTCTGGACCCGGATGATGTTGTCTACGTGTGTGTATTAAGTGCTTGCAGTCATGCTGGCCTTGTTGATGAGGGCTTCCGATGCTTTGACAGAATGAAATCTGAGCATGGGATAACACCAACAGTTCAGCATTATGGTTGCATGGTAGAACTCATGGGAAAAGCTGGGATGATCAATGAAGCTCTTGAGTTTGTCAAGAGCATGCCTATCAAGCCCAATGATGTGGTCTGGCGGAGCCTTCTCAGTGCTTGTAGAGTTCATTGTAACTTGGAAATAGGAGAGATTGCAGCTAAGCATCTTTTCCAGTCGAGGTTGCAAAATGCCGGTGACTATGTGATACTGTCAAATATGTATGCACGAGCTCAAAGGTGGCAGGAGGTGGCTAAAATTCGGGTGGAAATGGCTAGAGAGGGTTTGCACCAGGTGCCAGGTTTTAGCCTGGTTGAGGTGGGGAGAAGAATCCACAAGTTTGTTTCACAGGACACGTCTCATCCTCAATGTGTAAGTGTCTACGAGATGATTCACCAGATGGAATGGCAGCTAAAATTTGAAGGTTATTCCCCAGATTCATCACAGGTATTGCTTGATGTAGATGAAGAAGAGAAGAGACAGAGATTGAAAGGCCATAGTCAGAAGTTAGCCATTGCATTTGCGCTCATACATACATCTCAGGGTTCTCCTATAAGATTAGCTAGAAACCTCAGGATGTGCAATGACTGTCATACGTATACCAAACTAATATCCCTCATCTATGAACGTGAAATTACAGTAAGAGATCGTAATCGGTTCCACCATTTTAAAGATGGAACTTGTTCTTGTAGGGATTACTGGTGAAATGATAAAATTCCCATTGTCATCATTTCCTTCCCTCTGCCTTGGGATGCTATTTCCTTCTATACAAAGGAAAATTGTTCTACATAAGACTGAAGACACATAAATCAGAGGTTGTTTTAACCACATCTTTTCTTGCTAAAAGATTGTGTTTCAGAATAATGAAGCTAATAATGGCAGAGTTTTGAGAACTGTTCCAGAATAATGAGGATAATGGCAGAGTTTTGAAGAAATCACTACAAAAATTGTTCAGGATGTGCAGATAGGACCTTTGCTCATGTTGCAAATCCGAGCTAGCCTTATGCATGAAGTAGAGATCATTGGATGGTCTTCACACCAAAAATATTGCTAAACAAACTTGAAATTCAGAAGCTGATTATAGCCTCACATCTCAACTAGTTGCTCAAGTTCTGCAGTGAAAAATTCTGGCACCCCCTCTAAAGAGTATGGAAAACTATTAAGGAGATTAACACGAGCTTAGATTTGTTGATTTTTTTGTTTAGTATGTCCACAGAAGGTTATAGTGCCAATGATTGCATTCAATAAGGAGCTCCCTGATGAAACAACAAGATCTCCTGCTAAAATGTCAAACATTGTTCAAGAAAAAGTAAGCAAGATGAACCCTTACCAATTGTGGGAAGGGCATTTTTTTTTTTCTTATTCTATGTATTCATTGTTCAAGGAACTTAAATGTATAACAGTTGATTTTTTAGAGAAGGCTTTATCTGTCGATTTAAAACCCTTTCCCAATTAAATCAATCTCCAAAACAAAGTACAATTTCTGTAGGAAATCACATTTTCCACCAAACCTTAATATGGCATTCCTACCTCATCAAATACAAAAAAAGAAATCAAGCTCACTTGATATGGACTGAAGAAACCCCAGATGTAATTTCCCAGCTTCGTGGATCACCACTTTCTAAAGAAACACCTTGAGGATCTTCCCTAACTAACAAGCCCAGGACATTGTGTGAACTCCATGCATTTGTCACATTGCTGCTGGAATCCCCCAAGGTAACAGCAAAGATAGCATCAAATCCACCTGCTCCAGGAACCCCAGCCAACAAAACTCCTTCCATATTCATAGTAGCATCCAAAAGTTGAGTCTGTGATTTGGGTTCTATCTGCAATTTTATATTCAAAAATTTTTACAGGATGTAGAACTTGAATGTAATGCACTAAACTAAAATGATAACACAACATTTTGGAACCCATCAAAGAAGCGTATCCCTACTCCTTAGCTGATAATTTTTTTTTTTTTTGAAAAGTAGCAGATAAAATTTTAACAGGTGTTGTCGAAAAGTTTGCTAATAATTAGCCTTTGACTTTTGATAAGGGACAAGTTTTTTGGAGCATCCCAAAATCAAAAAGAGGATAGTCCATTTAGGATCTAGCACGGTAAATCAATCAAGCTTTGCATGTCAACAATATTAACCTCTTAATAAATCAGATGAAAAAAAGATAAAAAAAATTCAACCTCTTGCTATTTATTAAACATTTTAACAAATATGCAAATGCTTAAACAAGGACATTTTATGAGAATATGGAAAAAGAAAAAGAATGACTAGATGAAAAGAAGAAAGCATCAAATCAAAGAGACAATGACCTACCGGAACGCCTGCTGCCTCTCCCATTTGTCGCATGTGATTTCTGATCCCAAGCATAGCATCCCTTGCCTGTAGCAATGCTTTAACAACTGCTTCTTTGATTGGCTCAGTAACTCCGTCCATCCACTGTCCATGCAATTGGTTTAACAGACCATCTTAATAATCATCATTTGGAAGGAAAGAGAGCATAATGGAGGAAGGTACTTGTATTTGACAAGACAATTTAACCAAACAATAGTTTGGTATGAGTACACCGGTGTTATCCTCAGAAATAGAGAATCTTCCTGAGCAAGCGACTGCTCTGAATAATTGGTATGACAAATATTCAATTTTTTTCTTGCTATGAGTGCAATCCAGAAAGACAAAATGTTCATTTTTTTCAGTAAAAGCATCACTAGGAAATTATATTTTATTGTTGTTTTCTTGAGCGCTAGGGGAGTACTCTGAGAACGTACCTTTTCTGGTTTAAGCCTGCTACAGCTATCAATCACACATTTGTAAGCATCCCAATGTTCTTTGGCTAATTTGCTTAACATGTCAAGTTGTTTCTCAAGTTCTGAATTAGCCTCAGCCAGCTTTCTCCATGTTTCTTGGGATTTTTCAGGATCCGCCTTCTGCCATTTTTTAACAGCACCTACCATTGATGGTGTCGATGATCCACCAGTTCCGGGTTCTCCTAGTAACTGTGACAGCACAACAATCCTTGTGACAATAGAATACTTGCTTTTGCTAGCAAAAATATTGTAACAAGATTTACATGCCACCTTTCATTTCCTCAAAAAAAGAAAAAAAAAAAGAAGAGAATGAATAAGATTGAGTAATGTTTCTAGATTAAGTTTCCAATCATCCTTTTGCCCATATCAATATCCAGATCTACGTGATTGTACCACTACATCTTCACTTCAATAATTATGCATATGTAAAAGAAGAACCATTTAGGGATTTTATCCTGACTCACTCTTCAAAAATAACATTGGGGCCTAAAAATACGCAAAAGCTAGCTTTGACAGAAAATAAAGCAGAAAAATACATGGTGAGAAAGTAATAAGGAGCGAGTTGATAACTCCTATACCTGGTAAGTGAATAACTAACAAGGAGCTAATTTGCTGAGAAGATTTAATTAATTAAGCAGAATCACATAGAGAACATACCATATATGCTCACGAAAGCATTATAATTTAAGTGGTAAATGATGAAACTCATAATGCTTACAAGTGTCATTAATGGTGGCAAAGAGAATTTAGTCCTCTTATGGTCCCATTCTCCATTTAGAATGTTGCCAATGACTTCCTCTAATGGCATTCCTTGCACTGCAGCCTGCAACATTACAAGAGATCTTACAAAGAATCCCAAAAAAAGTCGCTAAAATTTGAGTCTACTGTTTTTTCAATGTCAATATGAGATGTTTGTGGAAGTATTCTACCCTCCTAAATGATAAAACACCAAAAATAGGGCAACTGAAACTTGTTTGAGAACGAGGTAATCTAACGGCAAGAAAGCTTTGACCAAGCCTGAGTTATATAGACCTTAATGTGTCCAATAAGTGGTTAAAAGTTGATAAGGTAGCAAATAAGGCAACCTATTAAGAAAAATCAAATACAAGGGAGAAATGTTTGCATGCGTTCTTTTCGGCGGGCCAGTTACTTCGTGCATTTATACAAAATATAAAAATATCAAAAAGCCATATATTTATCCATGAGAAACAGCCTAGGTGGTGACCCACAAGCAGCATTGCAATAGCATTAAATGTTCAATTGAGATGTATTCAGATCTTTCCCATTGCACATTATTCCTTACTCCCAACCATAAAGAAGGAGAGAGAGAGAGAGACCTGGGCAGCAGAAAGCACTTCTGGTGAAAAACGAACATAATGCTGACTCCCATAGACTGCAGAACTCACATCGAAGCCACTGCCAACTTTTCCTTGGGCAATACAATGGGCACTTTGAGCTATCATATGCACGACATCAAGATCCATGGAATTTTTCTGGTGTGGATCTTCAGACAAGGCGGAAAGGTTAACAACACCAAGGTAATGAAGTAAAGCAGCAACTACAGCAGTTGTCATTGCTGCTGATGAACCCAATCCAGTTTTTGCAACTTCAGGTTTACAATTTCCTCCATTTGATTCCTCAGCATTGAAAGTAATTGATGTAAAAGGTGTCAGAGCAGCCAATGCTTCTGGTGTCAAAGGAAGTTCACGAGCTTCAATCTGTAGAAGAACACATTGCAGCTTATATTGTAGAACTTACATAAAAGAATGGGCAAGGGTTACCAGAATTTACATGCCATAATAAATAAGTAGTAAATGCACATTTCAAGAGATATGTTCTATAAAGAAAGTATTAAATAGAAAAGGTAAAATACCTGATTTCGATATGAGTAAAAGTCGTTGCAACCTAAGATTGTGATATCAAGACCTGAATGATTAATTAAGTTCCAAAATTAGATTTCTAAGTTATGGTTTCCATTCAAATAAGAATAAAAAATGCAGAATTAAACATTACCTTGTAAGAGTATTTTGTCTAATGCATCCTTCTTATTCTTGTCAAGGGTTGCATGTCCAGCTGCTACAGCATATTGAATCGCATTTTCTACAAAAGGGTTCCTTGATTCACTGGAAGCATATGCCAAAATAAGTAAAACAACTTAACAATCCAGTGCTGCTCTAATAATTTGACTTAAATTTGGTATAATTGTTGGAACAAAAAGAACTAAGGAATAACTAAGGTTCACTGAAATTACTGAAGCTTTCTCTAATGTCCTTCAAACTCAAAAAAAGACGCAATATAGATATGCAAGAGAAAACACACTTCCATCATATGATGAAACCTTGCCTGGAAGATACACACTGAAGCGTTAAATGCTTCAGAGACAGTTTGTATGAGCTTTCTCTGGAAAGCTGAGGAGATGTTAGTTTGACATCGGTCCATGCCTGAAAGAGGATATAGAGGACAAGAGTTCAGACCAAGTGTTTCTTCATCAGTAAAGCACACTTATCCAGTGAAAGTTACAATAGCATTTTTTAGTAAATTTCTGATTAAAGTAATCAAGAAAACTACTATAGGGCCTCTGGTTTCTACATCGAGGAAAAATACAAGAATTTCAACAGTAATAAGGCATGCCACTTGAACCATCACCTAGAAATGGGAATCACATTAAGCAAAGGGATCACCATTATCCTATGCACCAGCAGTGAAGTTTAAAAATTCCGCGAGCATGGAATTTTGACATGTGTTCATTTAGTTGGGTTGGCTTTATAATTCAGTGTCAGACTTCCTTATTTACAATCAAGTGAACATGTGATGATCATTCGTAGCAGCTCGCGGAGTTCATAAAAGCAAAGAAATGAATGCAACAATGGCAAACTAAATAAAAAGAAAAAAAAAAAACTAAACAGAAGCATGGAAATCAAAGGAAAGCCTTACCCATGCCCAGCTTTCAGGCTTGACATCGTCATGAATTGGCTTCACAATAGCGTAAAAACGGGCATTGGTACTCAGAACAATCCCAGCATTTGGCCTCTCCAAAATCAGGTACCCCCCAGTCATCAACACCTTCCCCGGAGCAGAAGCAACTCTATAAATCACCATTAATAAACCAATATTAACTATACCTAAATCATAGGAATGATCTAAAGCAGATTACAACTACCCTTTTCATAATTCTTGCTAATCGACCAGAAATTAAACCAAATTAACAAAATTTCAGTCGAATGAAGTTAAACTTACACTTCCATAGTCGCCAACGATTAGGACTTGGATGCCGAAAACTGGGTATTTAAATTAATACAAAAAATTAAAGAAATTTGAGAGGTTTGGAAAGGAAGGAGAGAATTTTTATAAAGGGAATTGCTAAGCGCCGGGAAGAGCTGGGAAGCTTGACTCTGAGATTCGGTAACTCAGTAATCAACAAACACGACACGAAGTACTAACTCAGCAGTCAGCACAACACCTTCAAAGCGTTTTGTCTTTGACGTTGAGAACCATATCCACTGGGCCCCACTCAACTACCCAACTCATACTCAGGAAAAATTGAGTTTTTTTTTTTCCCGAAAAAAAAGGATATTTTATTAAAGCTATAATTATTTTAACTAAAAATTCCGCCTTG